TACTACTACTACTACTACTACTACTACTACTACTACTACTACTACTATCTACTACTGCTACGAATACTACGAATTGTTTTTGTGGCGGGGATTCTATTCATGCTCCCTTGATTGTTTGCTAGGGAGGGGTGGGGAGGTTTTACTATTCAAGACCCAACATTAAAGTAACTGCTGCACAATGACGTCACAATTCTTATGCACAACTCATGAAACATCCAATCTTCCTGCTCCATCCCTTGAAGTTAAGCTACACAAGTCCGAAGTGAGGACTCTCCATCGAAACCCGAACTCGCTCTCTCCGTCTAGCACGATGCCTGTCACGACATCAGCTTCAAGTGATAGGCCTGCTCAGTTCGCCGTTCAAAGGCACCAGTCCTGTTGCGAAGTAATGGACTCATAGCGAGATCTTCAAAGCCAATCACTCAAAGTATGGTTACACATATACACAGCCGCCCCTGCAACGGGGTCCAACCTGATGCTGGAACGGAAAACACAGCATCTATGGGACAAAAAAGCAACTTAAAAACATTGGAAGTGTTTCCTTCACAACCTCAACCACGACCCAACGAACGTCGCTGAAGGTGGGACGTGCCACCACCGGTGGCAATGAGCGGCTTGGCAGTCCAGAACGTGAACTCCTTCTCTTCGTTCCACTCGGGATTCCTCACATCATCGTCTTCGCGTAAGCTCTCTGGAATGGAGTTTGAGATTTTAAGACAGGGACATGTCCATCCAGAAGCTTCCCAGCAAAATGAGCAATTTTACAGGTCGATGTCAATGTTGCCTATAATTATACACTAAAGGGCTGTCCATTTATTGCATGTATATGTCTACATTGACCCCTGAGAACACCGACCCCAATGCATAAACTTTTATCGTGTGGAGTGCTTGGGTGAGGGTGGTTTTCTATTTCCAAACCAGTGTGGTCACACTAGTTCTCGCAGTAAGGGTTTATCGAGGTGCTCGCAGCAGGGTCTGGCCAACTCGCTGCGATTAACGGTGCGCTCACTCACTCACTTCGAAATCTTGCAATTGCATTTCGACTGCGCAGGCTCAGTTCTGGAGGTCCAGACCTAGAAAGTCTAACGAGCTGTAGAGGTCTTGAGATCCAGAGAGATCTAGAGATCTGGAGGTGTAGGTCTGGAGATCTGGAGGCCTAGAGCTCTTGAGATTCAGATATGAAGCCTTTCGGTTTGAGGAGATCAGAAGATCTGGAGGTCTAGAGAGCTGAGGTGTAGAAGTCTTGATTTAGAGAGATCGGATGCCTGGAGGTCTAGAACTGGAGAGGTGTGAAGGCCCAGATCCAGAGAGGGGACCAGACCTTGAGAAGGCTCTAGACGTCTAGAGCTTAAAGAAATCTAGAGGCCGAGTGGAGCTCTATGTCTGGAGGCCTAGAGTTTGAGGTCTAGAGGTCTAGGGATGCAGAGGTTTAGAGGTCTTTAGATCCAGAAAGATTTGGATGTCTAGAGGCCTAGAATTGTAGAGGTGTGGCGGCCTAGAGACCCAGACATCTCTATAGGTACCAGTACAGATCTAGAGGTCTTGAGATCCAAGAACTCTAGCTTTAGATTTCTAGAAAACATACTAAACAGGTCTCAAGGTCTAGAGGTTGCAAGATTGAGAGGTCTAGAGTCCTTGAGATGAAAGAACCTAGAGGTCTCAAGGTCTTGAGGTCGAGGTCTAGGGATGCAGAGAACTAGATCCAGGTCTGAGAGTTCTCACATCCGATCCTAGACGTCTCAACGTCTGGCCTGGGGGTCTGGAGCCTGGAGAGCACGCATAAGAGCACACATATGGCAGCACAATTTGCTGCACCTGCCACAAAATCTGCACTTCAAGGCCAAGGCCAACAAAATGCTGGCCTGCCACGAAATCTGCGCAGCAAGATTCACATCGTGCAGCCGTGCCAAGGCGTTTCGCAGCAAGAGCGCTTTCAAAGACAATGTCAAGTTGTGAAGATGCCAGAACGCAGCTTTGGCTCAAGACTTCCTCGGAGTTTTCTGAGAACGAACCACATGTCCAAAGGTCACGATTCACTGCACCTGCCACGATCAGATCCAGATCTCTCTGATCCAAAGACCTCTACACCTCTAGATCTCTGGGCTCAAGAGCTCTAGATCTCTCTGGAGCCCAATACGTCTAGATGTCAAGACCTTTTGCTGACCTCAAAACACAACTCCTTCTGCCATGGTCCACTGGACCACAAGAGCATGCAGGTTCCGGATGGCTTCGCTGGGCTCTACCATGTCTATGGCGTTCCTTCTCCCACGCAACTATGATCTATTTTACAATCCTCATATGGATATGATATGTGTGCCAAATCTCAATTTGGTGGCTTGGTTCAAAAAGAGTCCACACAACATTACCACTCCTCCATCGCCTTCGTGTGAGCCGCCGAGGCTCCTTGTCGCCTTCTTCACGGCGGTCGTCCAGTAGCGCTCGTGTCGGCCCAATGCGGTCAGGTGCCACCCGTTTTCGTCGAAGCCTTTGGGAATCTTCTCCTGACCGTGGGGGCACTGGTGGGAATGAAGAGCAATTTGATGAAGTTCCGAACCGAACAACCAAAAGGGAACAACCCCAGTCTCGGGAGCGCGGCATTAACAGCCCATGGCCGTGGGAGGGCTTTCCCGTTTGGAACTAAATCCATCCATTTGCTTCATTTGAAACTACAGTAGATAGATGTCGTAGGGCCTTCAGAAAGTGGTGAGCAGTGGTCTTTGGCAGGGGAACAGCGGAAGCACCGCCATGAGAAAGTGCAGGGGGGCTGAGCACAGAGCGGATGGCTTTCCAAGGCAGAGTTTGTGTCACGCTAGATGGTTAAAGTTGTGGCGAGGACGAGTTTGAGTCAGATGGAAAGTTCGAGGCAGGAGAACAGGGCCAGGGGAGAAGGAGAGATAGGAAGTGGCCTCTTCCCCTGCCTCAAACTCGGTCTCACCACAACTTTGACCGTCTAGCTTGGAAAGCCCGCAGCTCAGTGCCAAAAGTTGCTTTCTGGGAATTCTATGGGCTTGCTGTGGTGGCCAGAGATCGGTCAAGGGGTAAAGCGTGGCAACGGGGATATCGCGGCGAGGGGATGATTTCACTGTGCGAGATGTGCTGGGCGCAGGAACAGGTGTGTTTGATCTGATTTGGGTTTCCAGTATTTCCTACTCCACAGTTTCAGATATTCTTTTTCAGATGGTAGGTAGTAGGGAGGCCCAGCAAAAGGTCAGGCGGCCAAATAGTATAGTTGTGGGTCGTATCATGTTCTTTTGTCTAGGCATCGCGCAAAGATGCGGACTCAATGTGCAGACTTACCATGCACCCAAACGAATACCCGAACAAGGCTGTGCGCAAGCTCTGCAAAGTGTTGGCCGCTGAACTTGGGATGACCAAGGCAGATCTTCCCAAACTCCAGACGAAGCTGGAAGTGTTCCAAAGCAGCTTCGGTGGAGCAAATGAAGGTCCACGGTCCTAGGCGTTAAGACATGTCATAGACTTATACATTCATAACAAGAACACTATATATGTCATATTCAAGGCCAGTCAAGGAATGTATTCACTGGTCATTGACAATTGCATTTGTTCCAGACAATGATTGTAGTCCGTGACCAGCCCGAGTCATGTCACTAGTCTATCATTAATTGATTCAAGCTTGTTATAGCCTGTAATTACATGAGGAAAAAACGGAATCGCGGCAACAAACCACACATTGGTATTAAAATTCAAAACAGTGTAGATGGTTTGTGACGCAAAGCAACGTTTCTCTTTCAGTATGTTTTAACACCTTCAACCCAAATAGCTCACCCACAGTTCAGGCCGAAGAAGGCTGCAAAGAAGCCTTTGGCTCAGCCCAAAAGAAACGCAAACAGTAGGAGTCCAAGGTCTTATGTTTTGGAAGAACTTTGTCTGACAGTCTTGGGCCTGTTGAAGTGTTTGGCAAGGGCAAAGCCTTTGGTCCCAGGGCATAATTCTAGATCCTCTTCAAAAGACATGGAAGACCGCCAAACTATTGACGAAAGCCGAATGCGGAAAACATGGTCTATTCTCAGAGAGAGGAATCAAGAGCTTTGGGATTTCATGGGTAACAACTTAAAGTTGTCATATGACGTGTTCAATACTAGTATTGGATTGTTTGCTAAATGCAGTGGATGCAACTCACGGCCACATGTTACATATGCTGGCAAAGGATTGACTTGCTTGTATCCAAAGGAGGTGTCTTAGCAGAACGACATGAGCAGCTAAGTACAAATCACAATAACCAGCCTTAAAAAGCGTTGTAAAACCATTGCAAAGCCTCACAACCCAAAGTTATTCCCGACAGAAGACCAGCATATACTTTCCTCGACCAAGGTTTTCGGAGCTCTGCGTGAGCGTCAGTGTGGGATTATCTCCAAGCACCGTGGCAAAGAGCCTTCAATCCATCTGACTCAGATCTTTCGATCCGAATCAAAGAGGCCAGCAATCCTGGCCCCGACTCGTGGCTGCGTGTGCATAACAATCCATCTGACTCGATGATCTCCATACTGGTCCGTTTTGGAGCGACCCTCCCCGTCTGCCATGCCGATCTCCTGTTGGAGGAAGGCCTCATTCTTCACGTACATGCACACATAGGCATCGTTGCCTTCCTCGCAGGTGATCTGAGTGATATATATATATATACATACATATATCGTGTCACCCAAAATCAAGACCTGTTGAACAACTGCAGCGTTTACAATCACGGAAGCCCAACTCACCGTTTTGACCATTTCTCTTTCTTCCCCGTCATCGTGTGCGGCCAAGGACCACGACCACTAAGTCACTAAGGTCACCCAAAAGTCAAGTCTTCCCCTATCATATTGAAGGAGCTGTTACAAAGGGTTGAAAGAGATGCCATATAAGTGTATAGCTAGAATGGACAGCGATCATTCCCCAGTAAGAACTAATCGGTGGTTGCACCAGGCGCATGCGCGTTCCACCGACTTAAAGAGCCCTCGTCCTACTCATTCCGCCGAGCGGCTCGTTGGAAGTCGGTGGGTGCGCGGAGCCCTTCGGCCTGGCGTAAAGAGAGCTGGCTTGAGTCGGAGGCCCCAGCTAGGGAATCGGAACTTCGATGCCTGATGGTTATGGATGGTTTTGTTGGGGGACGGTAGGCAGTGAACATGTTGATTGTGTGGCTGGTTGGTAGCATGTTGACATGTCTAGTCTATTGCTGTTTTCTTGGGCATAGATAGAGGTGTCAAAAACACAAATGGAGGAACACGTCAACCGTGCTATGATTTGTGTTTGAATCACAGGGGTCGGTGTTGGGGATTCCATTACGCCCAGTTCTAGGGGAAATCTCTCTGTTGGTCCTCATCCCTGTCCGGAACGGTCTGCATCAATCTCCCGTGAGGCTGGGGGGTCCATCGTCTTCCCATGGCCCGGCCCGCGATGGAGACAGCATGCCTTGATGATGTTCAGTTTCAGTTTTCCTGATTTGGCAGGATGTTCTGGGCAGGAAAATTTTGTGATGCAGCTGGACGCGACCGGTGGCTGTTTCGGGTTGGGTCATAGAACCTTTGGGGACCTGACTTTCCTGACCATTCAGTCAAGTATACTATAAATACACCTTTGATCACAACACTGGCCTGTTGAAATTATCTTGACCGCCCAATCCTACACCTTACATGTTGGCCAGGGAGGCAACCAACAATTACTGGAATGGAACGCCTTGCTCAGAAAAGGTTTGCTGCGTGGGAAAAGCCAATTCCTGCTCGAAATGTTAGCATCGGCCCGCTCACAAAAGGTATGCTGTGTTTGAACGGTACATGGTTCCTCTAAAATAAGCCTCGGGTGTGTCACAAAAGCTTTGCTACATTGGAACGGCTCCTGATTGCCTTCAATTTTGCCCGCGGATGGCTTACAAAAGGTATACGCTACATTGGACTCATTGGAGCGGAACGTTTCTGCTCAGGTTGTATTGAAATGCGGTTTTAATACAATGCACTTTTCAATCCAAGGTCACAAGGTTATTACAAATAGCGCCAGCGGGGAAGTATACATCGTCGACCTTTGTGGCATTGTCGCAGTTCTTGCCTTCTTGTTTCTTACCGTCATTCCTTCGAGCATTCCTTTCTCCTTCCGTCCGTCCTTCCTTCCTTCCTTGCTTCCTTCCTTCCTTCCTCTCTTCCTTCCGTCCTGCCTCTTTTCATCCGGGTAATCATTTGTTTTTGATTTCATTGATTTGCTTCTGATACCCATGCGTTCCATGGTGCTCTAATCAAAAACCAAATCCATTGCACACCAGAATGACAACACTCTTGCAGGTTGCAAGGGCCTAGGACGTCCTGAACATTCCCCCAAACAAACAAAAACCACATGCCACAACAAACTCCCAATCCCTTTTCCCATGGTCAAAGGAAAAAACACGAGGCCGGTTTCCTAAGAAACCTCTCTTTCTGAAACTATCTTCAACCACCAATGAGCAACTCGTATATAACTAGTGGAAACACATGGAAACACCAAAGCCACGCTCATTGAAAGTTTATTGACTCTCCCGATTTCTTCTTCACCACTTCACCAAGCTGCCAGTATGCATGATCTCCTCCCTCTTCACGTCGGGCAAGGGCGGCACAGTTTCGCTGGGGAAGGTCCAAGAAGCATCGACGATCAAATGGCCTGGCCATCGGGCCGAATACGTGAGGGCAGCCCAGAATGGGCCGCTGGGTGTGTTGGACTAAGGGATCTACATGTGTTTTTTTTGGCGCCTCCAACTTCTGGCTTCAAAGCTAACGAATTTTGATGTGACATGATGTGAGGTTGTCAACGCAAATCAAGACACTCACTCATCATCATGTTTCTATCTTTTGGAGGACGTGGTGTTTGCAAACAAAAGCGTGATGTGTCCTGTTCGGTCTTTCAGAGTTCATGGGTCTTCGGCAGTTCCAAAGACCGCTGAATCTCCCCACGACACGACCCTTGCCGGGCCACGCCCACAGGCCTTCGCAGGTCACCTTGCTGAACTTTTTGCTGTGGTATCCTGGGCATTCTATCGATCATGATTTGGAGGTCGCCCTCGGTATCGAAGTCAGTCTCCCAAAAAATGCCAAACTGGCCCAGTTCTATGTTTTTCGTGTTTGACTGGCGCGTCCTTTGGTTTCCTTTGAACACTTTGGGAATCGTAATCGAAAATCTGCGAACCTCGATAGCTCCCACTGCGCAGTTGGCACCCCATATGACGAACACATAGAATCGCTCAGCCAAACATTCTGGGTGGTGTTTACGGAAGGAAAATATATCGCCGGCTTGGATTTCCACGGGCACACTTCACACATGAAACATCACCACCACATGCAAACGTGCCTCGAAGATTCCAAACCCAGTCCAACTCCCCAACACCTGCCATCACCTTTCCACAGCTCCCAAGAATCGTGTGGCGCCTGTCTCGGGCGGCGCGTTGGTCAAGGGCAGCACATAGCGCTTGGACGCCGCCGTCAAGGAGCCCAGCGGTGGAAGCCAGCACTCGCCAAGGAAGTCGCCCGACAGGAAAGCACCATCATCCTCCGAGCCCCAGACCTGCGACCAGAAAACCGCGACCACCTAAAAAAAAACATCAGTTATATGCTGTGAAGTTGCGGAATCGCTAAATCCGGCTTCCCAAGCCAAATCCGGCCTTTTTCATCCAGAACAGGTCTGCGCGGGAATTTGCCGGACAAACGTGGAAAGGGTATATCTGGGACGACTGACCATTTTCCAGCGGCATTGAGCTGCCATGAAACACAGAAAGTTGTGCCAGAAGATTGGCCCTGGCGGCATCGGTCGTATAATCACGACGATGCCCTTCGATGACCGAAAGGGCCTTGAGCCTCTTCCGTTGAGAACACTTGGCTCCAGGGTGTTTGGCTCAAGCCCATCCATTTGCCATGGGCAATGGAGACTGCAGACAGCATGCCAAGACCCTATTTTGCCGAGCACATTCTGGAGTGGTACCCTCCACGCGCTACCAGGGCCAAATCTCGGTACTTGCGGCGCCACAAATCTTCTGCCGCACAAATGATGACAAAGTGTCCACCATCACAAAACCAACGATACCCTTCCAGGTCTGGCTCAAGTGGCGGATGCGTTCCATCCTTTCGGGAAACATATCCAAATGGTTGCGGGCAATGGCGTATTCCCTGGAGCCAGACGGAATAAGGTAGCCACCTGTGTTGCGCATACCGTTCAAGTCCTGGCGCTTAAGCAGAAAGACTCCGACTGGTGACTCCAGCAATGCCCCGCAATGCCCACTCCTCCTCCTCCTCCTGAGACTGTGAAGCCGGAAAAAATCACAGGAGCAGCGTGCAGACTTGTCCTTTCGTCTGCTAGCTCCAATGTCCCAAATGATGGCGAATGAAGCACTCACTCTGGAGAACTTGATCGGTTTCTCGCGCGATCGAAGGCCTGTGCAGGCGGGGCATCTTAGGTGTCTGGTTGCGTCAAGTAGGCACAGTCCTTCTAATTCAGTGGCTTCAACCAGAGAAGTATACCAAGAGTCTGACTCCCAAGCAAGATCGAAGCCGCACTCACATCAAAGTCATCGAGTGCGCACACGTATTGACCATCCAAGGCACTACTAGTGTTCCAAGTTTACATCGGCACTCCAAGCTTTAACACCAAGACCTATGATCTAAAGTTTCAGAGCTCCTCAGCAAGTGCTTTTTCACACGCCTCTGTGGGCATCTGTCAGAAAAGTGCGCTGGCTTTCCACTGATGTAAGAAACTGAAGTCTTTCACTTTTCCACCTTGGTTCGATACCGAAGTACTCGAACTGGGTATACCGGAGTTTACTTTGACTTGGGCCAAAAATTCCTTTGCCCGTTCCTTTTCCAAAGTTGCTTCCATAACCTTCACTCTTTGCCTTGGATTCTTACCTTTGCCTACAGACCTTCAACATGGCAAGCTTTGTCAGGGACAGTTTGCCTTCCTCGCCTTTCCCTTTGCCTGAACACATATCCGCTATTGCTGGTCCCGGACGATACACGACGCCAACCAAAGCACTCAGAAAACACAGCGTGCGCCTGTGTGTAGAGTCAACGTGCACGCATTCAAGCGCAAGTGCGTGTTGCAGAGTTCCTGTTGTCTTGTTCAGCAAAGTGGAAACAAGTACGCTATCAGGCAGGGTCGTTTAATTTGCCTTGACCGTCTCCCAAGCGTTTAAAGTCTTCAAAGGTTGCTGGGTTGGTGAGAAGTGACACATGTTGCGTCGCATAAGGAAGTGAAAACTTCTCTGCCATCCTACTCGCAGTCTCAAACCCATTGGAGCCTTCGCTTGGCCGAGCAATCCAAAAAGCGAATCCAGTGGTCAAGCTCGCCAACAAGTACCATCATACTTTTCAGGTAGTGGAAGCTTGAGTTTTCCAGCAGAGTCGGTAGCCTGACCTGTCATCTTGAAGTTCCTGGGTTCAAAGCGCGTATCCTCCCAGCATCGGGAGCTCCGCTACCATGCTAAAGTCCCAAACTACCAAAGTACTCTCAAACTATGTCTCAAATTCAAATCCACCTAAGTATCCTAAGTACAGCTCGAGCAGGCTCACGTTTCTTTTCTGCCGGCGCTCGAGCCAAGTGAGGCACAAGCAAAGAAGTCTCAGCAAAAGTGCATGAAGTTTCGCGCACCCCCCCCCCGCCAAAAGCAACAACAACAACAACAACAACCAGCAGCACACCAATCAACCAACCAAAACCAACCAACTAACCAACCAAACAAACGAACCAAGCCCAAGCCAACCCAACTCGCTCAGGTTCTGCAGGAACCCAAACCAGGGCGGGAAGGGACATCAATCTAGAACGGAATCAACAAATATGCATGAGTAACAAAACTGGTTCTGAAAAAGATACCAAGGAAGGGCAAGCCGGAAAGTCTGAGAACTACAATCACGTACAGACACCCAAGCCCATGTGTCTCAGGCTGCACAGGCCAAGACCAAAAAGGCCAAATATCATACAATTTAACCTGTGCATGCCATAAAACAGCATTCTGCAATTGAACCCCCACTACCTAACCAACGTTCAATCGGCATGTCTAGTGGCCCTGCCTCCAACAGCACGCCTTGTTGAACATTCACTGTGTCCATCAAGTCAGCATCTGCCTCTTCCTCCACCGAGAAAAGCAATTCCTACTATAGTTTTGGTGGCGCAACACGATTATACAAATGCGGATTGGAGAACGTCAGCTGGTGTTGCCCAGGCGGAAAGTCTTGAGCCCAAGTTTGGTTATTTACTTCTCTGCGCAGACTCTGTCCAGGATGGCAAGAAGGTGGAGAATGCAGAAACTTTACTAATGACAACGCCGGGCGCTCTCCTCCCTTTTGGCGACGTTACCCAACACAACGCCCACCGATCTGGCTCACTGGTGTCCCGCAGCTCCTCAGTGGGATCTGCAGCGGCCACATCCTCAGGAGATGAGGAACGTGCACCAAAACAAAGCACGAAGGAAGTTGCTTCGACCTGCGTTGGGTGAGGTGTAGTGCTGGGATGTCGGTTCTGTGATTCGTTGGTAGCCTCTTTTAGGGAGAACTCTTCGCAGGAGCTTTTGGGAAAAGGAACTTTCATGAACTTTCAACGTCACCCAACATTGAGAGCTAAAGTAACTGGACAGTTGGAAGGAATCTCAAACACAAAAATAAACCAAACCCAGAATTCTGATTAGGGAGAAGAACACAGTGGAAGCACGGACGGCCACAGACCCTGAACAGAAAATAACATCCTTGAAAGAAGCAAGATTAACATATTGTAGACAACAGTGACTGACAGTAGAATTATGTAGAATTATAGCTGAACAAGGATCGGATTCATTAAAGTGGACACCAAGCTTGTAAGCAAGGACAGCTGACTACATGAATCCGCGAACCTCGAATCCCGGAAAAGGGCTTTGCAGCACACGAGTGAGTAGTTACAGCATGCATACAGCCAAGCAGCACACATACAGCCAAACCCGAACGGTGAACCAAGCTCTGTTTGTGTGGCCAAAGGACACTTAACGTATCACTTACCAAGGCTTCCGACCTCCAAGTTAGGCACAAGCATCTAATTAATTACAGAGACAACACGCGGCGCCAACTACTCTTCTTCTCCCAGAATTTACGCAAAGAGGGGAGGGAGGGAGGGAGGGAGGGGAGGGAGGACTCAGCTGCAAATTGGTCTTCTGCTTCTCGGTCAAGGTGATTCATTGAGGGCATTGATCTAGCGACAATGGGTTGGAGGTGTTCCGCTCAAGGTATCACTCAACTCCTCATCATCTCCAAGCTTCTTTGTTGCAAACCCCACCGGTAAAACAAAACAATGGTTACATGACTGGCGCTGGTACTTGTTTAAAACATATTATTCTCTCGTAAGCGCAAAAAAGGTCGAAGAGTGATACTATCAGAACCAACTGACCATTAAAACATGTTCACCAGCCAACAACAATCAAGTTGAATTTCAGTGCCCCAATCCTATTATACACTGGTCCAGCTGTTTTCCCTCCCTCCGCACAAAGCACAACGACAAGTCGCAGTAGCCTGATGAAGTCGTGGGTCAAAGAGTAATCGTTGACTTGGCGAGGTGATGTCATTACTGTCAGTATCCCATACTGATGTCTCAAATCTCCCTGAATCTTGAGCTCGCTCCTTGAAAGGCTGCCACATGATAGGCCGGAACTCAATGCGGGAGATGTGGGAATGGAAGTGACACATCATACCTGTTAGCAACCCATCGTGTACACAGATCTAGCCACTAGTCAAGGAACGATAACTACAGTTGCAGCATCCAGTTCAAGGCTGCCTACACCTGGCACAATTCCAGCAGCGTCAAGCAAGTTGGTCATTCTCATTGTTGCTCAATGTCACGTCTTTATATACATTCATATACACATACAAATGAGACACACTGCTACCAGCTCGAAATATCTCAATCGGCTGATAAACACATTGCATCCTGTCGATGCTGCAGGTGCCCTTTCCACGTCCTTGGCAACCTTACTGCTTTCTTGTTCAGGCCCTTGATCTGCTAAGGCAAACTGGTCTGTCTGATCAGCACCATCACCGCGCTCCTTCCAGGGGGGACGATGCGAAAGCAGTGCAAGGCAGGGCTGCAAACTGACAAGGAGATGTGGATGGTGGCGCATCAACTTTCAGCCGTGCTCAGGTACTCTATCTGATCTTAAAGCCATGTCAAAAAAAAACATCGATGTATAATTTGCGTACTTAAGGTTCCCGTCAGTCAGTCTGGGTCTGGTGTGGTTAATCGCCATAAGTTAACATGTCCCTTGTAGATCCTTGTAGGGTCTTTGGTCTTCGTGTGGAACATACAGGCAACGCAGCAGGGCTTTGTAGAAACTGCTGCAGGTGCCCTTCCCCCGTCCTTCGCAACCTCACTGCGCTGTCCTGAGGCTCCTGTACCTGCTTCTGTCTGACCAAGTTCATCACCATGTTCCTTCCGGCGGAAGAGGCAGTCTGCGGCCAAACCTTTTTGCAGAAAGCTTGAACACGAACTGCATCAGAAAATCCCCAAATCGTGAATAAACGTCCGAGCTAGTTGTAGGCATGCAACATGAAATACCCATCATAATGAATAATGCCTCTATATATATATATACATATGGTGGAAATGTTTGCTCGAACAATGGATGAGTGTTGGCAAATCATCTGGTGTTGATTCACATTAGGTTGCAAAAGTAAAGCAAACAATAATCAGGGGACACACTCTGACATTGGTTTTCAGTTAACTCAATTGCCACGATGGGAAGGAAGGTGAAGAACGGTAAGGTGAAGTGTCCGCAAAACTTGCAGATGTTTGAACAAACTGTTTTGAAGTCTGCAGAAATCACTAAATGCACGGTGCAGCTGCAGAAACGCGGTGGAAAAGGTTTGGGGGTAGTATCATGAAACACCATGGAAACAAAAAGCGAGAGTGGACAGCTTGTCAACAGTTGAAGAAAGCAGGTACGTAGTTCTGGCGTCCCAGAACTATGTCACTGTGTGACAGATGCGTCTTCATTGGCTGGAGACATCAGCACACTCCAGCCCCCTGCGTGTAAGCACCCTTCGGAACAGGGGTTGACACACACACGGTGCCGCTTTGCGGCGCTCGTGCCAAGAACCTGAATAGGTACCTAAAAAGCCTTAGAAACAAAAGAAAGAAACACAGAAAGAGCAGCGCTAAGAGGTCAAGAGAGAAAGGTAGGTGTAGGAAAAAGTGAATACTTAGCTCTTGACTGGGGTAGGGAAACGAGCCTCAAGAGCAACCTAAAAAGCCTGAGAGAAAGCCCAAGAAACGACCAAAAGCGCAAGAAGGAAAGCGGGGGGGGGGCAGGGAGGTGTATGTACATGAAGCGAATTACGTGCAATAGTTAGGGAGCGGGACTTTAGTCTTAAACCGCCCGGGTAGAGAAGAAAAGATAAGGAACAACAGAGGGAAAGGTACCGACACACAAGTGTGCCGAGTACCATTTCCCTCTGTTACCCTAATTAGGTAGGGACTAGAACTCGCCGGGGGGGGGTTGGGAGACCTGCCTCAAGTGGGGTGAATTTCCGTTTTTAAGCCCGGTGGCTATCAAATCCGTTTTTTAGCCCGGCGGCTGTGATTGCAAGTTGATGGTATTCCATCGTTTACACCCCGGCGGCTCGAAACTCCGTTAATTCAGTTATATAAGTGGAAAACGTGGAGTCAGTTGTGAAAGTGGAAAACAATGAGTTCCGGCATGGCTTCGGCGCCCCACTGAAGGGGATCACACCCAGCACCCAAGTGGGAAGACTGAGCGGCTCACACTCTGACATTGGTTTTCAGTTAACTCAATTGCCACGATGGGAAGGAAGGTGAAGAACGGTAAGGTGAAGAGTCCGCAAAACTTGTAGATGGTTTGAACAAACTGTTTTGAAGTCTGCAGAAATCACTAAATGCACGGTGCAGCTGCAGAAACGCGGTGGAAAAGGTTTGGGGGTAGTATCATGAAACACCATGGAAACAAAAAGCAAGAGTGGACAGCTTGTCAACAGTTGAAGAAAGCAGGTACGTAGTTCTGGCGTCCCAGAACTATGTCACTGTGCGACAGATGCGTCTTCATTGGCTGGAGACATCTGAAGCACACTCCAGCCCCCTGCGTGTAAGCACCCTTCGGAACAGGGGTTGACACACACACACACACACAGTGTCCGGCAAAATGTTGGAAATACACATTGCAACACTACAGCAAGGTTCTCGTCCTTGACAACTTTGCTCAAGGAGGCCTCCTCTTGCTTCTTTACTATACTGCTTGCAGCCTTTGGGCTGACCTCACCAAAGGCCAAACTTGAGTCAAATTCCTTCTTGTTGAATTTCAAGGTCGCAAGAAACTGAAGCCATCCTCCTTGGACGAGCTTGTCTACCACAATAGCCATCAACTGTGCTCTTGTGATTCCTTGGTAGATATGCGCACGAGTCAAAAGCGTATCAGTCTTGTTTGTATCAGCAATTTCCTCGTCCAAACCAACGCAAATCACAACCATCATTTCTTGCCCTCTGGCTTCTTCGATCGTGTCCATAACAATGACTTCATCCTCGGCTGCTTTTTGGTGATGGTGATGTGCATGCAAGTAGCGCAATGACTCCTCGAAGGACTTTACCCGAAGGTTTCGGGCAGTGAACGTAGCGCTGAGTTCACTTTGAAGCATCGGCTGGAACTTCTCAAGGAACTTGTTGTCCGGCACAATGATCGCAATCCGCCGGTGAAAGTTTCTCAAGGTGGGATAGGTTCGACAAACGTGCCAAATAGCTCGGATCGTGTAACGACTGTATTGATCAAACAGCTTTTTGTCATGGTTTAGAGTCTCAAACATGAATGTTTTGAGAGGTGGACCGTTGGTCCCACAGCAGCTAGTGGTAACGCCTCCATTCTTTTCGAGTTCAAATGCTTGCGCAGCTGCAACAATCCTCTTTGTACTCCTTACCACTTCATCCAAACTCACTTGGTGCTGGATGTGTGGGAATTTTGGGCGCAAGGCAGCAGACTGAGATATGTCGGACAGTAGAAGCTTCTGGTCCGCCTGCAAGTCGGTGTGGATGGCCATCATCTGCTCCTCGGAGAATAGCTCGTGTGCCTCGTCAAAGACCACCAGCGCAAACTCTGGAGCATCCACTTGTTCCTCGACAAGTCGATTTCCTTGTAGAGTCAATTTGACGAATTTCTCATAAGGTTTGTGCATCACTACAATCCTTGTGAGCAGTTCCTGAACATTTCCTCCTTTGAGTCCCAAGCATTCATGCCTTGAAACCAACCAGTGAACGAAATGCAGTCCCAGGCAAGGGCGAGGAGCAATGTAAAGGATCGGTCTCCGGGCGTCCCAGTTCTCATAGATTTTGTCGAGCGCGAATAGCACTGCCACAAACGTTTTGCCTGCACCTGCAGGAGCTGACATATGTATTTCCTTGCTGTAGGGCATATGGAGCTGCCGAAGCTTTGATTCTTGATGCTTTGTCAGTTTCGACAAGGCTGAAAGACTCCTCGCATCAGGGCTTGAGAAAAAAATCCGTTTCAACGTGTAAAACATTACAGTATAACATTGTAAAACCAACGACATGTCCAAGACTAACTCACCGTAGTATGACCCACTTGTTTCAAGCACAAGTTTGCTCCCCACGCCCGCCTCTCGTATCGTTCCATGAACTCGGTTTTGTCCACTTGGACTTCGAATTCGGTGTCATGAAACTTCGAAAGGGATCCGTTGAGCTGAAGCTCAAGGTCACCTCCAAGAACTTGGTCTCGCAGCATATGAATTGCCTGCAGGGTGGAGAATGAAGATGAATGAACAAACAGAAGTCGACGTTCAAAACACTGCAAAAACAGTTGATGAAAATGGGTGTGTGGGAGGTCACTGTCCTTGCTACATTATGGGACTTGTATGGATTTGTATGCATGCGCGAGCTCATATTATATAAACCTATTGACAATCCGTAGACCAGCTGTCTTGCCAGTTGGGCACAATCATCGCCCATGGTTCTTTCCAACTGGTTTGGAAGGACTCCAACAGTCGAGTTTCATGGTGGAGCATGAGCATCCATGGGCACTGTTATCTATATCTTCTTTTGTCGATAGCATGGTAGCACACATACTGCTACACCCCAACAGCCGTAATCCAGTTAAGGCATCAACCTCCGCAGCTCTTTTAACCCTTTCATTCTGACATTGCTATGCTTCTTCATCTCTTGGGTGTATCCCTTTGCCAGCCTTGACATGTGGAACATGGACTTCAACTTCCAAAGCAGCATCTCCATCTTCAAGCCTGGTTCTTGACACAAGCTGTACATCCACATCATACGGCAAATTTTGCTCCAGCCTTTTCTGCAAGTTGTCCAGGCCGACCTTGTCAATCAGCTTGTCGATGGGGTCTGTTGTGTGCATCAAATGGGTGGACTTGAATTTCTCCCGGTGTTCATTGCACTCCACCGTCCACTCTGCAACCCACTTGGAGTCATTGGCAGTCTGGCTCGCGTCGGGTAACCCAACTATGCGACCTCTTCTCCAACAATTCTTTTCTTTGTCCCGCGCATCTACCTCTTGCTCAAGCTGGAACTCGTTTTGCAAAAATTGCATCACATCCACTTCTTCATATCGCCATGCAGGATTTTTGGTTTCCCGCCACATCTTCTCCAAAAAGGCGACCTCTCCCTTCTGGGACCCACCGAGACCCTTTCCGTCCCACAGATCGGCAGTAGCCAGCTGGTCCCAATGTACCTTGCCTTCTCCTTTCTGCCCGGCGAAAAACACCACCTGAAGCTCCTGCCCTTTCTCAACTGCCTTGTGGCCATTCTTCATCCAAGCAGGGAACCAGGCACACCCCCATGGTGCTCTTCTGTTATTATCCTCATACTTTTGCTCAGCTTCTTGTTCAGCCCTTTTTCTCTCCTCTGCGGGGGCGCTTTCTGCTACAACGACAATATCCATTGGCTTTGCTTTCTCCTTTTCTTTCAACATGTTTTCCTCTGTGCACGGAGATTTCACAACTTTTAGGTAGCCAAGCTCCTTCCAACCTCTCTCACCGTAGATGGCCTTGCAGTAGCAAGAGCCGTCTTCTGCATCAGGGTCTTGCTCGTGTGTTCCAAGGCCATCTTCCGGGGTGCACAGAAAAACGCAGCCAACACTCTTGCCATGATGTTCCTTGACAAGGGCACCCCATCCGGATGGATACTTGCCTGGAAACGAGATGACACATTTCGTTGCATCATCTCGAATGTTTCCATGGTAAGTGATATCACCCGTGTCTGCCACCACAGCCGGTTGATCTTTTAGCGTGATGTGAAGGGTCACAGTGGTAGCTCCTTTTCTCTGGACTTCTTCCACCTGACAGCTCTCAAATGGGTGGCGACAAAAAATCCTTGCAAAGGGTCCTTGTCTTGAGAAAACATGTCTTGAGACTTGATGCAGTCTTGCATATGTCCTTGCACGTCATGTCTGCGAGTCCCAAAACTTGCAGTCTCAAATCTTGATTCGCCCTTCCCTTTCAGGTATGGCATGGGAATAAAGTCTTGAGACTGCATGCTGGTTCGAGAGCCAGTTGGGCTGAGCAAATACGGAGAACCAACACCGCCTGTTCCTCTGCTTTCTCGAGTTGCTTCTTCAGCATCTCATTTTCGGCCTCCAACACCAAGCAACACTCATCTAGCATGTCGAAGTAGCACGACATGAGAACATGATCACTCCAACTGGACCAAGACTGGGGATCCCGCAACAGAAGGCGTGGCTCCAGCTTCAAACACACATGCCCACCAGTTGCTTGTACTGTGTACCGCGCCCCTCATTTCATTCTATACTGTAATTCAACTGAGTCTCTTCCCTTCTCTTACCATGCAGTTCACAACGGATATGAGTGTTTTGTCATAGCAACATCTGCAATCTACAGCACACAAAGCAACATGAACAGGAACGACCCATTGAAAGTGCCTCCCAGGATTCAGTTAATCATTATCCTGCCTGTGCTTCTTTGAGCTCTTCCTGAAGCATCGTGATTTCTGCCTGACAAAGCAAGTGGCTGGAGCGAGGACAGGTTGGATTGATCATTGATCATTTCAGTTTCAGTTGGGTCCAAAAAATTCAACACCACCAGCATCTCTCATGCCTTTGAAAAACCCAGTCCTCAAATGATCTAGTCGCGTCTTTCAACATGAGGAGCATCAGCTGCACAAATGCATAGTCTTGACCTTGGCTCAGCAAAAGCAGTGACTCGAGCCAGAAAGGCTAACTGAAACACCAGAGTAGTGTGTGGGCCAATGCCTTCAGCGATACCTGCAAGCAGCAGGTCAGTGTTTCTGCCGCCTGTTCCAGCTTTATATTTGAGAAGTCAAGTTCCTTTGATTTGAGAAGGTAGGTGCAACTAGCCATGCTATGTGCATGTCGTAGAACTACATGGGCGTGCATATGACGATATGTCTCACCTTTCCAGTAGTATGTACTTGAAGCAAACACAGGAAATGTAGTGAAGTAACCTCACACATTGAAACTCTTAGAGCAGCTTTGAGTGTCAATAGGGCATCCTTCACTGGTGTGAGATAGGTGCCACAGCAACAAGCTACACAGAACCCATTCCGAAGCTGTGATCAAACTCACCTCTATAGATACTTGTAGTTCATGCCTGCATCTGAACGACTGACAAAACAACAGCTGTCCACTTGTTCACAGATCAGGAACTCACTTGTGGAATGCTGCCGAAACAATAACGGAAGTTGATGAATCCCTCCATAAGTCGCGTCATGGAACAGGAATAAAGAGATTGCCCATTTTCCAAGTTGACATCTTTGCATGATAAATTGCAGGCAGTTTTGCAACTGATCCCAATTGCCATGCCTTCCAAAGCCTCTGTGCCTTTCCTCCCTACAAAGGAAACGCCTAACCTCCCCGTCAATCTCTATCGATCTCATCCAAGCAGCTGCTGGAGGGGATGCGCAACAACAGCTCCTGCAAAAAAGTATTCGACCGGCCTCAACAAACACTATGGATGTATTACGGTAATTGCACACTACTATACATAGTTACAATATTTGGGTTGTAGTGTAGTGTGTCAAAACCACTTGTGTCTATGCTCTTTTTGATGACTCGACTTGGACAGCAGTCTCACATCAATCATATCGGCATCAGCCCAAAGCAACTGTCTATGTGTGTTTCCCCGTTTGTGCCAACGGGTAGTACGGCGTCGGGTCTCCTCAAGGCTGTGACCTTGGTGACTCAGGCAAACCAACGCATCCAGGACACCATCCACTGCAGGTGTTGCATGCGAAAACAACAAGAGCCTGTGTAGCACCTGCGTCAGTGAATATCTATTGCACACCTGCCGAATAGCTACCGATCGTGGATAGTGACAGCTCTCCAGTGCCACTAGCTGTTAGTTTACATGTGGAGGGACAGGGATAACCATCCGTGAAACCAATGCCATTTCACGCTCTGACCATCCGCACGCATCTTGTCGGCCATGGTCTGCCGAGATAGAGAACCTCGAAGCAACTTCGAAGCAACTGGAGTCTGGAGCCCAGTGCGAACATCTATTGGTGCACCAGCGCGATATAAGGTTGTACAGTAATGCAAGGAAATGAGTCCGTTGTTTGAAGGGAAGCTTCATAGACCTAGGCCGGCAGTGTTTGCAGTGTAAGTGTATGCCAGCAATAGGCAAGAATGGGCGTCCACCTATCCAGGGAACTCCTAGGATTGTGTGAACCTATTTCCCTCGTCACACGATCGCTTTGACATCACAACCATGGAAGAAAAGCGTGGCAGCATGTGTCATGATACCTAGGAACATCTGCACGCACTGCACCGTGCTTCCAAGACACCACTCTCCTCAGGGTCAAGGTGGTCTTTCTCTAAACGGCCGCGCAGTTCTTGAACCTTCCCAGGGTTCAAACCCCCTCTCACGAACCACATCAGGTGAGATGTCAAGGCGATTGATGAGTCACCAATCAACTCCTCAGATGTTGCGAGCCTACGAACACGTAATTATGTGTCTGCAGCAATTGGTTCTCATACAAACTTGGTGCTCAAGATTCAACCATTCCGTCGCTTTACGTGTGATCTTTACACTTTACACATGATCGGCCAAGAACGCCACAGTTGCTACAAAGAGGTACAGTACGCCTCCAAGTATGCCTGAGACGGTTCTGCCGCCTCCTGCAGCCAAAAATAAACAATAAGCAAACGACAAAGGGACCAGGAGAGACACGCTCACAAAACGTCAAACTAGGATTCTTTTGAAGGGCATAGTCGGAAGAGTACGTGTCTGCCCTGCACCAATGTCAAAATAGATTATATATATTGCACATGTAGACAGCGCCAAATCGCTACATGGAAGCCTTTCTGGCATGTAGAAGCGCAACGGCTAAAGTTGCAACAGTTTAAATATTGAACATCCTGTTCACAACGAAATGGACTCATCATGAAATGGTGGTATTTGCAATTGCATCTTCCTTCACCCTAGGGTTGTAGGAATTCTGCCAGGCACCGTCATGACATCACCCGGTGCTTTCATCCCATGCTCTGGCTTGCACCTCCGGTGTCAATAGCTCGAGGAAGTCCTTCACTCCTCAGTTTCGTGGTCGCAAGCTGCAAGAGACAAGCCAACATGATCATTTTGTTACATTGCGCTATTGAAGTTATTTCAGCATTTGTATTAAAAAAAATAAAAGTAATTACAGCAAATGCTTCTTGCTCTAATAATTCTCACCACGGTGTCAGTCTTCCCACGCACGCCATGTGTATTACCCTAAAAATTATTATATAAATGATCTATTGTTCATGTCCACCATCTGGGGCTGCCTCGTTGATCTTGAGGCATTAGAATATGCCGAGGTGCTGATGTGTGGCTCATCTTTGTAGTCCTGCAACCAGTCCAGAAACAAAATCAACAGGCTTTAGTATGTCGTGCTTGTCTGAATATCTCCGGTGATTAATAACTAATAATAATCAGGCTTGTTAAAGTGCTGTGGTCTCAAACCTCATGAAGAAACACACCCTAGCATACCCTAGGTGTTGTATATTGTTTTATTTGCTTGGAAAGCTCTTCCGTATTGCTTGTCAGCTCTTTGGCTCATCTTTCAACTTACACACCGGGGCCGGGGAGAGTTGGCCGCTGTTGCCCTTCGTGTCAAGATGATCTGAGAAGGACGTGGCCGTGGCTCTTCTTGTGCGTTGGAAGCGAATAAGAGACATTGATCTCCTGTTCCTAGGTTACCCTCCCCCAAGCAATCATGGAAGTGGAACATAGATTTCTGGGAGACCCATTTTCCTCTACATGGGGGTTCTGCTCAGCTCCCATGATTGACTGGAAAGCTGGAACCCATTGACCAACCGGCGCCTTGACATACAAGGTGCTGTGTATGTAGGCGGCTGACATGATTCGGCAGCTCTCGTTCAGTGCCAATGATCACGGGGTGCAGATAAGCAAAGTTTGGAAGCAGCATGAAACAGCAAGCATTTGAGTTCTCAATAAGCCATGTAGATCAATCTTTCTCTATATAAGCCATAGCAGCTAGCATTATTTTAGCCAGCATTAGCATTATTTTAGCCAGCTTTTGCATCTGCAACTGAAACACCTGCCTCACCCAGTTTCTTGATGCATGCCCAACCCCCTCAGCAATGAGTTCACCTTGCAACTTTTCCTTGATGAGTTCAAGCGCTTCATCTGCAGAGCAGCCAGCGGACTGTAGTAGCTCGATGCATCCTGGGGCGAAGCGGCGCAAGAGATCAAACCAATGCAGAAACTTGAAGAGATCTCTAAGGATCAACGACATGGTTTTGAGCAAAATTTGATCAGCAATTCTTGTACAGTATGCTTGGGGGTTGTTCTCCTCTTGATGGGTGCTGATACATGCCAGTTCTTTTTGGCTCATGGTTGAGATGAGACCACCAAATGGCCAAGCAGAAAGAGGGTTTGCAAACAGTTTGTATATATACAATAGCCTTCTTCTTCTTCTTCTTCTTCTTCTCTTGATCACTTCATGCGCAGCAGTCGGCAAAGAGTCCGATCAACAGGTCATCGCACCGGATATACATTTCCTTTGACCTAAGAGAGTCTTTAACCTAAAGCAACCTTCCTCTCTGCCACTCAGCCGCTACAGGCAACAGTACAGCAACACCTACCCTGCCCACCAAAAACGATCAAACATCCACTAATGTCCACCACATCCATCTTGGCTCTCCATGCACTCCACGCACTGACTCCACTTCCCCGCGACTCCGCACACTCGAAGCCCGAAACCGCGAAAAGCCCGAAGCCGAGGCGCGTTGGGGCGCCAGCAGCGCCGAGTCGCCCAGCGGACTCAGCAGCAGCTGCTGCAGCTGCTGACGAAGCTCCTGAGCTTCGCGGCGTCCGGGGAGGTTGCGGAGGAAGGGCTTTGGGACTGACGAGGAGCCTGTGGCCCGTGGTCACCGGTGGCAAATGCTTTTGTAGCAGGATGTAGCAGGTTCATCCGGTGCTTTGCAGGTTACCAAAGCAGGTGACACTCCCAGAAAATGAAGAAGCACCGGCCTGGTGAAGTAAGACTGCGGAGGAGCTGCCGTTCTTTGTTAGACTGTTCAAACATGCATCTATATGAAGCAAAGTAGATGCGAGCTTGTGCCCATTGTGCAGAACGTGCCAGGAAGCCAAACGGAAGCATCTATGTGTATGTGTTGGATACCAAACAGATCAAGAATAAAACATGTCCCAGCTGATTCTCAAGTTTTGATCAGCGACAAGCCAAGCCTGAGCCCCTTTTGAAGAATGAATACTCAGCATGTGTAAGCATTGAAACTTTGGCTTCTCCGTCACCTGCGTTGCATGTTCGGCCTTTCCAAGTGAACATTCCATTCAACACTGACATTGCCATCCTAGAATGTACCGTAATGTACCCTAGAGCCAAGAAACAGCAACATCTTAAGCTTGAAACCCTTGAGACATCGATATCTCAAAAACCTAGGTTCCAGCACCCTAAGACCAAGGTCCAGCCCAGCTTTGAATAAATAAGTTCTGAACTCTGCTCAGTAATTGTTACCATAAGTGAACAAACGCTTGATTTATTGAAAGCTTCCACATCTAGGAGGACCTCCTTACACAATGAACAACATCATTGCAATACAGTGCTATGTGTACCCTGCAATATGTGACGACCAGAAGCATACATGTCAAGTTCTTTTGCTTGGTTTTTGCAGCCCATACCTGGTGTTAGATGCATCCAAAAGACATCCATCCTTTGATGGAGAGTCTTGTAAGCCTCGGGGTGCCCAGTGATTCAATGCGGCGGCCATCTCCTTTGTACATTTCCAGGAGGACCTCCCTGGTTAAGTTGGACCTACGGTTTCCCTCCTCTTTTAAAGGTAATCCCTTGTGGGAGTTGTTCCATTGCTGTGGCAGCCTTCATATTGTTTCCAAGAATATACCGATCTCCAAACATGCCACAACCTGCAAACTACTTGCTCTGCAGTTTCTGCAGTTGTTCATATTTCAGGATGATATTCTGTAGCTGTCATTGCTAACCTGCTAACCTACCAAACTGGATGCTGCTTGGAATTCCTTCATCAAGGAAGTCGATCTCGATGTCCAACAAGTTAATTACAAGTACCACCAGTCGGGACCGAAATAGAAGTCAACCTTTTCGAGTTCGTCTCTGATTATTGCGCCGTACATTGAAAGGTGAGCATGGCGTTAAAACCAGCTGAACACATAGAGAAAGAAGAGTCGACGCCATTTGATGCCAACACGTGACAGTCCGCGTGTCCCTTCTTGCAACCTTCCAGAAAACAAACTGGAAAGGAGGGCCTTCCCACAGGAAAGGCCATTAGGAGAGGCCACAAGTAAGTCATGCTACGGCTATCAGCAGAAGACCCCATGAGCAAAAGAAAAAGAAACTTGGACCCCTTCGGCCCAGGCCTAGCAGTTCTGCTGCATCTTCCAGCGCAGCTCCAACAGGTCATCTTGCCCACCATGAAGGCATCTAATCAGGTTGGCTAGGTGATAATGGAATTGTTCTGTCGACGGCTGGAAAACAGGCTACCAACATGTTTCTTTGGTTCCAGTAACAGCACATGTCTTGAACATCCGATGAACATGTTGTCATGGCTAAAAAGTCCATTGACCGTTGTGACTTGGCCATCCGAAGGCTTGGTCCTTCTGAGCACAAGCCAAAGACAGCCGTCGGCAGCCGAAGAGCTGACGGTCTTGAGCTCAAGATGCTCTGAGGATCTGACCGCCCTACTTCCGAAATAGCATGGACGCGCACGACTTGAAACGAACAGCATCATCACAAGTCGAGCCTTCCCCAAAAAAGACATGATGTATGATATCAATGATATCTGTGTGTCTTCATGAATCTTCCCGCCTCAAAAATAACCAGGCTGTTGATCCGAAGCCACCCATTCGACCGCTGCAAAGCTGCTCTCTAACGGTGTGCTTACCCTGCTATCTTGTCAACTCACAGCTTCCAACTGCAAAAACTTCAGGATCACTTAGCTTCCAACTTTGAAGCTCCTCTCGCACCATCCCTGCAACGTGCACCTCCCGTTGGTCTCTGGTCACTTGGATCGAACATTTGATAGGTCCAAAGGTCCAAAGAACTCTACGGAGAGGGAACATCAAGAAGTATCATCTGTTGCGTGGTCGATCTCATGGGCTGTTTAGTTACTAGATGTTCATCTAGTTTGGTGGATTTAGGTAGGACATTCCACTTTGGACTGCTTGTTCATCCGACCAACTGGGTGAAGCAGTTTGGTAGACTCCAAGCCCTTTGAACTTTGAGCCATTATGGTAAAGGCCAATCAATCAACGATGTGAATTCGGGAACACCTTGAACACTTTCTTCTCCAATTGGCAGGGGGCTCACCTGACCGAGCTAGGGGCATCTAACAACGCTTCCCAGCAAAACGCTTGAGACTCGAGGACTCTAGGGGTTGCGAACCTCTCGTGCCAAAAAGCGCTTCCCACCATTTAGTTGTATATACAACTTCTGAACACTGGACTTATACAAGAGTCAGATGGTATCTATCATGGCAGCTCCGTATGTGAGCAGGTCTTGGGAGCCCAGCAATTGACCATGAGGGCCTCACCAGTGGTACGCGCCATGAGTCACCTCACTGGCGCCATGGTCACTGAAATGCTTGAGCTGTGAGTGCTTGGAATACACTGAGGTATGAGAAATCACAAACCCAATGGTATGAGAATTACACTCTTGCGGAGAAACTCAATTGAAGACATTTCAGACCAGAGTCCGGTCTGTGATACCTGACGTGATGACCTGCGATGACCTGCTTGGCTATGCACACCGCTTTGGCCTCAAGCTTACGATTGACTTGGCATTTGGCCTGATCCCTGGTTTTCAGGGTCTTCAAGCCAGTGCGACGATGTCTAAATTGCAATGTAAGAAATGTACAGATCATCTTCAATCACAGTCAAGATCAGGTGGCTGCTTCCAAACTTCGCCCTGGCGGTGTGAACAGAATGTACACATAGAGCATGCTTGTCTTACCACTCATTACATAGAATATTAAACCGATTATATAACATATATAATGTAATCGTGATCAAGATACAGTATATGGAGGTTCATTAGCGGCGTGCATTCTACGTGCGACCCAGTGAACTATTTCCCGAAGCCAATGGTAGAATGGCCCACAAAAGAACTGGTATTTTGTGAGCACTACAGTACGTTACATCTGCAAACAGTAGTTGGATGACACAAACTTGCTTGGAAAATTCTTTCAACCGAGTCCGTCTTGAAGCGACGGAGGTGGAAGAGAAGGAGGATATGCCGAAAGGACTTGTACCTCAAGGGGTGACCATCCTGGGCGAACTTTACTAGATCACCATTCAGAATGATTTGTCAGACACCCTTCAATTCAAACTTCAAAACACATAATGACGCCTCTACAGGGTACAAGGTCCAGATCCGCACAAAAAGAGGTGACGCATCCAAGTGTTGAATCGACAACATCTCAGGAATGTGGTTCATTACGTCACAGAAGTACATGACCCTAAAGTTATGAAGACTAAAGAGAGGTCGGATGAACAGTGTAACGTCACAAACAACGAGAAAAACGACATCACAAGTGAACGCCTAAAGAACTATCAGCAGCTTTCGCTTGGTGTTGGACCATGTTGGACACATCCTCTAGGAGCGCCTCAGCCAGTGGAGTGTTGTCCTCGGAAGCGCTCCAGATTCTTACGGCTCACACGGGTCGCAATGTGGTCAGGACCATAGATCTCCTGCATAGCCGCACCATTGAAGGTTCAGCCTAGATTTATCCCAAGGACTCCAAGGACTCTATAATAATTCACGCTTGTATAAAATATTCTTGAGTGGGATGTTCCCTTGAACATCACTATGCAAAATGCCAGGAATTTAAATCACAGTTTTGAAGCTGACATATGCGACCCAAATGCTGTGCTCGAAATAGCTTAATGTGGCAGAATGGCAGCAGCCAAGTTCGGATTCATCACAGTGGCTCTTCAACTAACTATCATCTGACTTCTTGTGCGCCTTGTGAAAGGCAGGAACATTGAAGTTGCAAGATGACGTGATGTCCGTTGATGTCCTAAGTTGCGATACATATTTTCCTTTGCCTGTAGCTTCTGACAGCAGTTGATAGCCTGTGTTCCAACTTCTTGTCGCACGTATTCAATGGTGTGTTATGCATATGTCGCCCTGCGTGACGCATATGCCGTTGGCGCGTTTCACTGGACCGCGCGACGAGTGTGTAGTATTCAATGGTATGGAACGTTCTTGGCATAGGCCCAACATGTGTGGTGACAAAGTGTCGGGCGTCCCACAACAAGTTCAGACTTTCTGGAAGAAACGACTCTTCGGATCAATCATTGCGATCAATTTATATATACGGATTTATCTCGCGATGACGTTCTCTGGGAGGAGATTGACTTGATACCAAAGAGACTAAAGTTCTTAGATGTCAAAGTTTCATGTCGGAGGAAATAGCCGTTCAGGATCCTCCTCAAGCTATGATGTGCTGGCAGTCAGCAATACAGCAGCCAAAATCAATGCCCACACTAGGGCAAATGTCACGCCCTGGTCACCGCAAACATACTATCTTAAACATCAAGGGATTGGAGAATCAAAGGTTTGAAACAATGCGTGCATGCTCCCAAGCATTTGTCGTAAGGCCCAGAATCATGGTTTTTCTCCACACATCCATGAGCAGCCTTCCGCAGCCCTGACAGCCATGACAAGGGGTTCTAAGTTCGGAATCCTCCCATTCCATCCAGCAATGGAACGGCACCACCCTTGCGCAGCCTGACGCGTTTCAACCCCTAAACATGTCCGCTCCCTCACCCATGCGCGTGCTCCCTCACTCTTCCGCACGCACATAAGCACATAGACAACATGCTGAATGTCCAGCTGACTAGATGATTCAAGCAAATGTTCTATTCAATGTCCGATTGCTTGAAGTATAATCTTATATAAAGTCCAAGATGGGCTTCATTTCATGGCAAGTTCTCTCAAGTTCCAAGTTCACAGCACAACATGCCCTCCCCAACCAAGCTCGCAACGGGACAGTGAGTAGAAAAACGAGAAATCAAGAAACAAAATGGGTTGAAGGAAAAGTTCCAGTAGCAGGCCTGCAACAAAACTATCACAATATCACAAGTTCAAAGTGCAGAAAAGCATCTGTCATTCATGTTTATTGGTTTTTGAAAGTGACATATTACATAATCAACAAATGGAGCTACACATTGTCCTTGAATTTGTTTGAACCCTCTTTGACTGATCCACAGGTCCGCTTCCTAGGCTTGGAAGCCGCCTATCATCGGGCGTTTGCCCAATAATTTCAACCGGTTTCTCGCTATTGAACACCTTCATAGATTCTTTAAAGAAACGCTGGGAAGGGGCGAGTTACAAACTAATCCAAAGCAACATGCCAAAATGAAAGGTGGTTGCTCACGGAAAACGAGCTTCGGTCCTCTGTGATGGTCAACTCTCGGAGATACAGCTGGTCTGCCTGGATTCAATCCGCACAAATGGACACAAATTGTCCTTCAATGCTTTTCATTCAGGTGCGGTGTGGGTACTTCCAAGGTTCCTGAGAGCAATTTGAACAAACATTTCTCCAACACCCTGCTTGCCTCATCTATGGAGCCATTAGCCTCCAAAAGCTGCGCCAGGCCATACATGGAGGCTAGGGTGTGTGGATGTTGAAGTCCAAGTTGACTTTCACGTCCTTCAAGCGCCCGTCGATGTGATGGCTCGGCCTCCCCCAGATTGCCTTGAGCTTGCAGGACAGTTGCAAGGCTGCTCCAGGAGATGAGAGTCTCAGGATGCATCTCTCCAAGGAGAGATTGACGAAAGCCCAATGCCCGCCGACTTAGCGCCTCCGCCTCTTTGAGCTTGCCATTAACGCCCAGGAGAACTGCTAGGTTGTTCAACGCATAAAGCGTGTCTAGGTGAGCTTCTCCAAGCTGGCTTTCACACAGTTCTAATGTTTGTCGATGCAGTACTTCCGCCTCATCTAGCTTGCCTTGGTCTTTCAGCAAAATGGCTAAGTTGTTGGCACACGCTAGGGCGTAGGGATGCATAGTTCCAGCCATCGCTTCAAAGCCACTCAAGGCCCGCCGATACAGCGGCTCAGCTTCGTCTACTTTTTGCTGAGCTCGGAAGACACCAGCCAGGTTGTTGGCACAGGCCAAGGTGTCTGCATGTTCTGCTCCAAGTTCCAACTCTTTGGCCTCCAAGATCTGCCGCCAAAGGCGTTCTGCCTCCCTGAAGGCACCACGAGCTCCCAAGACAGTAGCCAGCCTGGTGAATGCACCAATAATGGCACAAAAACACATTTGCTACAAGAAATCCCTTGACTCGAATCTCCCCTTGGTGAGACTCTGCGTTTTGCAAATCACGGAGTTTCGGCGGAACTGTCCCTCACCTTCCAAAAGCTGAATGCGCTTCCGCGTGCTTGGTACCCAGTCTTGCAGCAACCGCTCTTGCACGGGTGCGGAGCCTTGGCTCACTCAGGCAGCACCGGTATCACGTTTAGTAATTTAGTACTAACAGAGCTACAGCACTCTGCTCTGTGAGTCTGTGAGTCTCTGACTTGACTCTTATCAATGACACGTGTTTTCATTAAGCCTTTGCTATCTCCTCTTTGCGCTCTTCCCTCTGGAACAAAACAAAAGAATTGATAAACATTGCAATGAAACAATACACTGTTTGTGCAACCGGCGACTTGAGACTTTTCTTTTGTCCCAGTTCAATGCTTGCTTTGCTTGGCCATTAAAGCTACTTATCTTAGAACTTAAAGACTTATGAAGCGTAGAACAACTACACAGGTGTTGCCCCTTCAAACGAGGGTCTTACTTTGCACCCTTCTCACTTGTGCTTTCACCGAGGAGCACAAGCAGCTAGCAGCTAGAGAGGAATTGAAAAGGCAAAAAGAGCCACAGGAACAAACAAAGGATACAACAACATGAATCGGCAAGGAGTACTCTGATCGCAGGAAATCCGTTGATAGAATGATATTCAAGACAAAGTCAAATATACACTTCGGCACAATCAAAGGACAACCCATCGGCATGCAGCCAAACTCAATTGAACATGCACATAAACAGAGAAACAATTACAGTAACATACAGTAAGAAATACAGCTCAAACAATGGCAGGATAATGCAACCTGCTGTAACAAAAGCATGGCAGGGGAAAGGATCCCGTGGAGTTGAACTGCATCCTGGTGCAACATTTGGCAAACCATCAAATCTAAGTCTTTCCAACTTGTCTGGTAAGGCCTCCATAGTTGGTTGTTAGAAATCATCAATACCCAAAACTGCACAGATCTTGCGACCTTTGATTTCTAGGAAAACACGCGCGATGCACCATGTGACTCCTCTGTGAGGATTACACGAGTGATAGACAAAGTTTGAAATGCAAGCGCCAACTGCCTCCAGATGGTTATAAGACCATTCACACTAAAATGTTGAAGCTCCCGGCGCATGCTGCGGCATCAACCGCTTTGCAACTACACAGTCGTTTGTTTCTTTTTGCAATTCTTTGCCATTGCCCGGCTGTGTTGCTGTGCTATAGGGCATCAGCAAAACAAAGCGAGGACAGGAACTCATTTCAACTTGTTGGCAAAAACATTGCCAATTAAGGGTGGCGTGTGCTGCTAGGTCTTTGGTACCGCAGGTTCCCGCTTTGCTGACTGGTTTGGCATATAGTTCCACCTTGATATTGTTTTGAAACCTACGTTTCAAACAAAAAGTAGATTTTGCAAGTGGGGTTGCCCTTTGGGGGTGATGGGATTTTGAAAATGTGGGCAGCTGCAATTGATAATGTGTCCTGTCCTGAAAGAAACAATGATTTAGATGATATCCAATGTATTTTGTCTATCATGCTCGTGCCCAAACTCTGCATGTCTTTTGGATAGGCCACCCCCTCACACCCCTGACCGCAATCGAGCATCGTTGGGAGCAGGTTGGCGTAAGCATTTGAAACGTAGTTTTCCTCCTCGTTTTCTACTCGCACGACAATCACCGATCTTACCGGCTTTCCAGGTTCGTTCAAGAGTTTGCCGGCCAAGTTCCTAGGTCATGACGAGACTAAATCGCCATGCAAGCGCAACTTTTAGGTAAAGCATATCATCTGGCTGGGCGCCCGGCACCCCAGCAGGTCTCCCCTGTACACAAAACAATTGGTTGGCACATGCAACGCATGTGATTGATAATGTAAATGTTCAAGAGTACAAAAAGGGTCCGGCCTGCTCCACCATTTCGGGTGTTGGGCGCACGGAAACGTCGTACAAAATGGCTGCATCAGCAATAATGGGAATACAGTAAGCAACCCGGCTGGCATACAACTGCGTCACCTGCGTCAAGAAGAGCAGGGCACGTGGATCACTATGAACTTGCGAACGTGTGCCGCACGATGACTGTCAATTACAACTGTTTGGGCTCACAACAGGCAGCCTCTCCTCACCGGCATGCTCGTGCCCCTTGAGCTCAATATCTCTTCTGAGCATGTTGCGGTACATGTTGTCTAGTAACGACTCAATACTCGGCCATTCGTCTGGTGTCTTCCGCACGGTGTAGACTCCTGGCCACTCTACAATGAAATTGCCACACAGCCTTTCTTCGCAGAAAAATGACATCTGTCGCGCATGTTTTTTAGCGGTCTCATCGCAAAGCATGGTCCCATAAGGTATGTCTAGCTAACATGCGTCATATCAGCAACCAGTGACTGGCATCTCGCATCATGACCTGCACACAACGTCGAGAGTCGCTACAGCTACTCTATAGGTCCGCTTGCAGCATCCGTGCGACAAACCTTGGGCTCGTGGAGGGGCTTCTAGAATGGATTCAGGCACAACTTCACGCCAGCTACTACACAGGATATGTGCATTGGAACCGGGACATTGGCAGCACATTCGTGGATCTTTCGCAGTGATTTCCCCGAAGATGCATATCAATCACGCGCAAACATCCGCAACCTGTCAGGGCCGCGGATCGCTGGGGCTGTGCCAGAGTGACGCAGTTGCAGTTTGTGAGTCTGGGTTGGCCTTGCGGCCTTGCCGAAAAATGTTTTCTCACTTGGGGGTTTGGTGCGTACCCAACATAAAAGTCAAGCGCGCCTTTTTACCACTAAGCAAGAGGTCGTCAGTGATCAGCGGCAGGACATGGCCAAGAAAGCAACACAAAACCCAAAAGAAGAAAGCAAAGCAAGATACAAAGTGGAAACAACGCCTTTTGCACAGTGGGCCCATATGGGGCCTTCCCAACCGTGAGGCTGAGGCTCTTCCGAAAATGGACTTGATGTGGTTAGCCCGGTCAGACAAAGGCTTTGGCGAGCCATTTTCACCCTTTGGCTGGTCAGGCAAAGTGGAGCCATTGGTGGCCCTGGAAACTTTGCCAAAAACAGCACCATTGCTGTCGTCAATCTTTCGCACTTTGCCATAGTCAGGCTTGGACTGGTCAGACGTGGGATGATTTTCATCCTCCACTGTCGACTTGTCGGACCTGTCAGCTAACCTGAACCTCCGTGTCATGCAACGCCAGTCCTGAAACAAAATGACATCAGTAGGGAGCTGTGGCCCTCTGAGATCGAGTTGTACTTGTTGGACTGAACCACCACACAGCCAAGCGCAACCGCGAGCAACCCTAACTGGACAGCGCCTCTCCCCGGAGGCATGTCAGACGCAAACAGAACGCGAGACCTCATGTTCTTGAGCACAACATAGTCAACTGTGTTGTCAAACCCAGTGTCATTGCCGTCAAACACAGTGTCATTGCCGCCCCAACCCATCACAACAACAGACCCCTCTTTGACTTGACGTCAGACACGCCAGACAAGGGGACATCGGCCACATTGACAACCGCATTCCGCTGGGCTTCCAAACACACCTCACAAAGCTTGATAACGCCCCAGGCCCCCGGACGCTGTTAGCCAGTAAAGCGCGTGAATCTCGACCTGTTGACAGTCCACTGGTCCCTGGGGTATCTTCTGAACTTCTGCAGGCCAGCATCCTCATTATTGTCAGCCTGGCGTTGACGTAGTCGCGCCTGCTGCTTGACTACTCCAGTTTTGAAACTCCTCCTCTTTCAAGGGCTTGGGAAGGTGTGCTGCAGCGCTTGAACTTAGCAGCCGGTGGCCATTTGCTGCAATCAAACGCTTGTTTTTCGGATTGCAAGTCACAGGTGGCAGTTTCAGTGTCCAAGTGCACAAGTCACACTGAACCTTGGCAATGTCACGCGCCACCAAGTACTTTCCATTGGTCAGCTTGTGGAGCTCCTTGAGATCATCGTGAAGCCCTTGGGACACATTTCTCAACATTGAATACATGACAATCATCTTGGCAGTGTCAGATTTCGACATGGCTCAGTCGTCAGTTTGTAGCAAGGCCAAGTCTGCCAATGCGTCTGTCCAAAGTTGCAGCGAATTATGTCTGACTTGACCAACTCAAGACTCAAGCAACTGTCTTCAACCTGACATATGATTTATATAGTTAGTTTTCCTGCTAAACAGAGTGTCTCTGTTAAGATGTGCCGCTCATGGTGAACCTGCTTGATTCTGCCTGACTTTGACTTAGTTCTGTTCGGCTCAGGATCTTAGGGAAGGACAATCCTGCTGCACTGTCGGGGCTGCGCAAGGGCCATTTAAGTCGTCAAATTTGTTCGTCTGCGACAGTGGGGACATGTGGGCGTGGGGACACTTCCGCCCACCGGCCCTTCCAAAGGATTGCCTTGCGTTTCTACTACATGTCGGTAGAGCTCAAATGAACATGAAGACTCAAATTCGCAAACTTAATCGCGAATCTTTAGCGGGCGGTTTGGACAGCATCTAAAGGTCGCTTATTATATACAGCTCCTGACAAGCCCATGGCAAAATCAAAGCACCGTCAAAGTAGCTGTTTAGCTCACGTGGGTTGCATCCGATTGCCCTTTTACCAGCTCTCCAACTAACTGGTCTCCGTAACGTTTGCTAGTTTGCTAGTTGAGAACAGTAGAAATCGTATCTTTTTGCTGCTGCTGCTGCAGGAGGAGGAGGAGAGTATGAGAGTAGTAGCAGTAGCAGTAGGAATAGGACTAGTAGGAGTAGTAGTAGTAGTAGTTGTAGTAGTAGTAGTAGAAGTAGTAGTAGTAGTAGCAGTAGCAGTAGCAGCAGTAGTAGCAGTAGTAGCAGCAGCAGCAGTAGTGGTGGTAGTAGCTGTTGTTATGTTTCATTATTGAAGTCCATGGTTGTCAGTCCATGTCAGTCCAGCAGTTGTCCTACTGGTTCTTTTGGTATTGTTACAAACGCTAGTACTCACCCTACCAGGTGAAGGTTACAGAATTACAAGTCGTGTGAACCAGTCATGCGAGAGACATTACTTCAAATTCTTGCACGCCGAATCAGACCTGATACAGAAGCAACCACAGGATTTCCGTAAAGCTGGTAAGAAGCCTTAGAACTGCGAATCCTGAAAACGCAGGTCACCTGTAGCATCTGGTTTTTCCTTGCCTGCGCCCCACAACGCATTGGCTTTTTCTCCCGCGGTAATGAGACTTGCCTGAATCCGTGCTGGTGCAATGTATCTATAGATTGATCTAGATTCTAGATTGTACTGGTAAGTGAAAAACATTGATGGGACAAAAGCTGAGCGCGATACAAAGACCTCAGCCACTTTGCTGCTTGTGTTCGTGATATTTCGGAATCCCAGCCCGGTTGTGTAGTGAAAGACACAATGACCTGAGCCACCGGATTGGCTCAAGTCAATGGCATCCTGCCACACCTGCAACCATCTGCGGTGGTTCACGGGGCTGTAGCAGCTAGAAAAATGATGTGCAAGCGCACAGCAAGCAAAAAAGGCGCCTTGATCCCGGAAGGTTTGTGAACCCAGCACCAATCCTTTACATCTCGTTCATACTCTTCATCTTCAAAATCACCACCTTGTTTGTATTTCTGCTCGAAGTAGCGCGCGAGCCCTGCCTTCGGCAAAGAAGGCAACACGCAGAGTCATGAAGACCAAAATGATTTATTATAGCAACAATTTGTTTGTATGAGCGACGTGTAAAACCTCTTGTGTGTTGTAGCGCGCACTCTTCGCAACGTTATCGTTTTCTATGAACCTTATCGTTCCTGAGGTTTTGGACACACCTTGCAACATGTACGTATATATACGTATACTAAAACCTTATCATTTTCTTGTGAACCTGATCGTTCCTGAAATTTCCTGAAGGTTTCCCTCATTTTACTTACTTATTTGTCACTGTAGTGATGCTCCTTCATCAGAGGTTTTGGCAGTTGCTCATATGGAGCTTAAGGCTAGTAGAGAAACAAACAAAAACAGCACGGTGTTTAAAGCATGATTGAACATCCGGGGGGCACACTTCTACTTCAGAATCCATCAGCAAACTTCATCCCACAGGCTCCACCATCCCTATTGTCTTAGCCTATCCTCACACTGCGACGCAAAGCACTGCCACCAGCCAAGCAAGCAAAGTGCATGACTGCCAAAAACCTAGGAAACCGTGCGTGAGAAGGCAAAGGTTCCAACCAAGTCACCAGGATCGAATCGCGTTTCGCAATGGTAGGTCCAAAAGAACTTTTTGTGCCGTGTTTGTGCTTCCATGAAACCATGGGATGGCTCCCAAGAGATGACATTCCCATCGATGTAATTAGCAGCTACAGCTGAACTGTTGTGCAAAATCGCAAAGCAGCGCTCAGCATGTGGAAACAAAGAAACTATATAGTGGGACTGGAACTGCATTTTTGCTTCCTGCCTGGAGGTGGTACACAGGGCTCCCGTCTCCACCGATCCTTTGCATGGCCAACCCCCCAAGGAGAAGCCCACGCAAGCCGCAAGCTCTGTGTGGCACTTGACATCAGCAACAGCAGCAACAGGCTCCCTTGGGCGTTCAGGCGACAGCAGCTTGAGAACTTGAATCCTGAGGAAGCAAAGCACATTGTGGTACACACGGCTACAGCAGGGTGTTTTCTTGACTCAAAATCAAGTCGGCCACCGGAATCACCTACCTATGCCAAAATATGCTTAGCAGTCCTAAGTCCTAAGATTTCACGTCATATTCTGCCCTCGCACCCAGCAGAACAGACTTTGCCACTATTCCCCTCTTTGTATAACCCAAATCACTTGTAAAAACAGCGTGGCTCAGCTGGACTTCTTGTAGCAACAGGCAAGCTGGATCGGCCATGGCAAACGGTGCTTTGCAGTTCTTTAAGTCACTAAACAAAGATATCATAGGTCAGGACAACTGGGTCGGGCCATTGGTGGGCGGAACCACTGGGTTGAAGCTGGCTGGAAGTGCGGCGGTTATGATTCTGTATGGCGTTGTCATTGTGTGTTGAATGTGTGATTGCTGCTGGTCAGTTGTTGGTGTTGCAATTGCGTAATTGTTTCTTGTCTGTAGTTGTACTGGCTGCACTTGTTATGTTTGGCGGTATCAGTCGTTGTGTGTTGTCAGTGTGATGGTTTGTTGTCGATTGTTGTGTTTGTCATTGCACTGCAGGATGCACTGCAGCAGAGGCAACAATAGGGTGGATTGTCTACCTAAGTATCTAACAAATGCCGATCCCGTCGGGTCGGGGAAAGTGGTTTCACAGTCTGTTCGTGCTTTTTGCGCGCAAATTACACTGATGGGGCATGATCCGAAACTGTGTCTTCATCTTCGATGTCTCCCTTTTACGGGTGTTATCGGGTGTTCCTCAAAACGCATGCACAACCCCGCTTCTGTCTCTCGCGCCTGACTTTTGCCGTCGGTATGATCAATCTCCTTCCGTGCCTGGCAATTCAAAGGCCTCACCTCACCGAAGGGTGGCCCAAAGCAATAGGCTTAAAGGAATGTCCTACAAACCACTGCACTGATTTGAGATTTAGCTGGTTTGCGGGGCAGCTTCAGTCCAACTTTCTACTGGGTTCTCACTCAATTTCCAATATATATATATATACTGATCCCAGAATTTGCTAGGTAGTCTCATATCATATACTGCGCGCAATGTTCCACAGATGCTATTATATGGCCGAGGTTGATCGTGGCCTCGAGACCAGGTGTAGACTCCCCTCCTGGCAATTCTTCGAGGATCCTCCCCAGCACCTTGCAGGTAAGACATGTGGTCTTTAACTTTAACTAGAGCCCATGGAGAAGCTGCTCATATTAGCTATGATTCAAAATTCATGAAAATTCCGCATACTGGAAAGCATTGCTAACTGTGGGCTCCCAGGTCCTTGTTTGAAAGCCACAGCCATACGTATCATCAAGAGTGTTTGGACATCACTCATAAAGAGCTTCTCACACCCGCTTGTTGTGGCTTACACTCCAGGGTTGCTTGGGCTCTAAAGAGTGGAAAGAGGTCATGGCGTTACCCCGCTTTTTCTTGTGTTTCTTCACAATCCGGTGAGGATGGCCATGCCAAAGGTCTGGCCCAAGAAAGTCCTGAACTCCAGGGAGGGAAGGGAGGTTCATTAGAACGAGATATGAGCCAGCACAATCATCCAATCAGCTTTCTCTGCAGGGAGGCTTTTAAGCATCCACAAATGAAGAGGCAGCGCCCAATAGCCACATTGAAAAGTACAACAGTTCTCTTCATGATATCAACAAGCACATTCATCAAACGCTCAGGTCTGGGGCTGCTGGTGGCAGCCAAGGCGTGAAGGCTGGACTGCGTGATGAGAGGCTCATCTTAGAATGGTTCCGCTTGGATCTTAATTCCTTTGTCTGCAGTTTTACTACTAGTTACTTTCTTCTGCTGCTTCCTGCAAGGGTTTGCACATTCACATGCTGGGCCGATCAAAGCTCCTATAGTGTTCCATGTCATTGACGCTCCACAGCATTCAGTGTCCAACTCTACGTACTTCTCCCGGCTTCGGCATCACCCAGCCTTCATGTGAGGTGCGGACAAAACTATTTGTTCATCCAATATGCCATATGCCAAACTGGGTCGTCCCCTATCGGTTGCGAGGATTTGGGCATTTGAAGTGTGATGTCATGATGGTGTCACTTGTGAAGTATCGGTTGTCCGTGTCCACGTTGCACTTTGTTTACTGTGTAGTTGTGTTTCCAGTTCGGGGCCTAAAGCTATATCAGTACCGTGTGAGAGGCTTTGGAAGCAAGCAGCAGGGCTGTGGCTTGGTGTGCTTGCAAAAGTTATTGGTGTGCCCTCTTCAGTGTGTGCGGTTGTTGAACCAGTGCCTGGGGTGTTTTCAGTGCTAGTGCTTGTTGGTTGACCTTGTATACATGTCTGCTTCTCAGCTTCTGGCAAGCTATAAACATGAGAGACCTGCGTGGGCACCCGCAATGATCAAATGGGACAAGGGGCACCAAAGCATGTAAACCTGCAAACAAGGGTATCGGTTAGTATCCGTTGAGCTGTCCGTGAGAGCTCCCTCACAATCCACAAACTTCCAGAGACCCAAGGCAATACATTTGCTTTCAGCACGGCGCACTCACTTGGCAATGGTGTGATAGCCCTTACTAAGCCTTACTATATGACGCACTCAGGTTCAGAACTGCTCCTATTGTAAACCCCGGATTCCAATGCACAGCCATCAAAGTACCAATCCTAACCTAAACAATCTTGGTAGGTATAGGGGTATCTATGCTGGGTCGTCCCCTATCGGTTGCCAAGGATTTCTTCACCTCTCAAAAGCACTAGGCGGCCTCTTGCATATTTAATACTCCAATAATTTTGTCGGATGCTCATATAAAGCTGTCGGTCTGTGACACGTCTGACTTTCTAAAGCCTTGCACTTGTCAGTTGCGTCGTTGCATTTGACTGGAGGACATTGTTCGGGCTGGCCTGACGCTTCCCTTGTCTTTGGTGTGCTTCCAATGCTGATGGCGCGACATGTGATTTATTTAATGCGTTGATCAAAACAAGTTTGGCAAGCCTCTCCCCAAGCGTCAAAGACTCAAAGCCCACTTTTGCAACTGGTTGCAGCCATTGAACTTGTCATCACCTCCTGCTTAAAGCTGCAAAACATCTAAACGGTACATGGGCAGTGCTGAAACATATCGGCAGGGAGTGTTGCCAAGTCGGACGGTGCAAGCTCAGCATATGGGTTCTATTTAAGGCTTCTTGAAACCTTTGCCTGAGACCTGCGCTCTGCCTGGACCTACCTTCAGGTTGGATTTATTAATTGACTTCAAGCTTCCAGGCCTAAAGCTCAAATTGGTAGAAACTAGCAAGAGTGCGGCTTTAGTTTGGACCAGCACGGAACACCTACATACAAACCTATTTAGGTTCACATTCAGCTGTAATGGAAAAGAACAGGTGTAGCTAACGAGCACTCACCAATTTCTTAACAGTTTGTGATTGCCAGTCTGTGAAGAAGCAGCTAAAGAATATAAGTTCAAAATGCTCGATTGTTTTGTTCCTTTGTTTCACAGAGCAGCGCTGTTTAAATGAATACAAGTTTCAACACACACACACCGTACAAATAGCCCGTTGGCAGTGCCCATTCACCTAGACCTGCATTCCTTGACTCAGCTACGTGCCTACGGGCCTGGTTTGCATGCAAACCACTTACAATTATATAAGCAATTTACATTGACAACCAACTCAGGTTTTCACCCTTATCCACTCACACGACAGCCGATTCACAGTGGCCTGGTCAATGCGCGGGTCAAAAGCCAATGTCTGACTTGTCGATTTGGTCTGATTACTGTCTGTATCCCATATCGATGTCTCAAATCGATCATCATCACGAGGTCCATCCTAAGAATGACAGGCGGGTATCAATCAGAAACGAAAAAAATGGTGGAAGAGAGCTCCAAAAACCATAAAACCTTCCAGTATGCATCCTGTTTGAAGATTGAAGCAAATCACGATTACCTCAGCGTTGAAACGAGTATACACATATGTATATATATAGATGGAGATTGTATGCGTATACAACGACTGGTAGTATCATTGGCAGTATCCTTCAAACAAACATAAGAATACTCCAAGTTCCATGCTATACACTCCAACACAGCTACAATCGTTGCCCTGCCCGGCCATTGGGAACCTTGTCGATTTCTCCTTGGGCTTTGCCATCTGCGCTGATGAATTTATTTGCCCCATCATCATTTTCCTTCCCATGCAAAAAGCAGTCGAACAGTCAAACCGTTGGTTCAGGTAGCGTGCAAACTACAATGAGTCCATGACATGCGGCGAATCGTTATTACTGCCCAGTCCTTCACTATGCAAACTTCTAGAAGCTGTTCAATGCCACCAAGCTCATCCTGATGGACGCAAGTCACATGCAATGAACATCAAGCAATTGTCGACCTAAATCCTGGAACGATTCCCTTCACAGGCCTTCGACCTGAGCAAATCTTGGAAAAAACATGAAAGAACCTTGTATTTTGTGTGTGTGCGTTATTTGCACCCCGTTCCCATCAGTGGGCCTTTGTGTGAGTTTCGAGCAACGCATGAACAAACTCTTGTTTGCAGATGCAAAACAAAGACCTGAATGAAACTGGTGTCGCGTTGATGTTGAATGTCATGTTGCGTAGAATTGACACTGTGTCGAGAATGGAAACGTCATTGGGACCATGCACGCATCATATGTGGTGGGTTGGCTGTGCAATTGCAGTTAGAATCCGACGAATCACATCTCACCATGTTGCTGTGCGGAACCCGGGTAGCCTCACGAATCACAGTGGTTAAATTGCAACATGGTTTTCCACTTGCTGTTGCTGTTGTTGTCACTCACCTGTCCTTCACCACTGCCAAACTCAAACCAGTCATAGCAGCAGTGTCCATGCCTTCGCCATCTTTCTCCTGCCAGGAGGGTGCACCTCCAAGCAAACACAATCTATGGCAACCACTTTAAACATTGGCTGGAACTGGAACTCAGTTTTCTGTCCCTACTATGACCCTCCAGATGTTGAATCATCCTCTGTCATTTGGTCACATGCCAATATTGTTTCATAACATAATAATACCACTCACATGTTCATGTGATCTTACGGTCATATGCCCAGCCCGTCTGACATGTTCACCTGTGTGTTTATTGCCACCACAAAACAAGCAAAATGTTACATATGGAAGAACACTTGTGGAGAAATAGTTTTGAAGAGTAAATAGAGGAAGATAACTAAGTAAAGAGAACCAGCAAGCGACCTCAGACTCCATTGTCGGGTATTAACAAGCCGTCACGAACTCATGTCTTTGTATGAATAGCAGCCCCTCTGTTGTGCAGAGCACGCATGTGAGAGTGCATAAACATCAGAGCAAACAAATGAAAACGTACAAATTTAGAGGAAAACAGAAGGAAAGGCACCGACACACAAGTGTGTCGCGTACCATTTCCTCCTGTTTTCCTAAATAGTGGAGCAGGTACGTGGAATCGGCGTCCCATTTCCATATCCTCAGATACATCCCCAGCTTCATTGACCAGGCGACGATGTATCTGGCCTGGTCCCCTGCTCCAAACCAGAGGGTTCCCTGTGACTCCAAGGGTTACACACGCACGCCTCCCCGAAGGGAGGCATGTGGCCTCCATCCTGCCCGGAAAGGAGGCACCCCCATCCTGCCCGGAAAGGGGGTTATGCGAGGCACATGTGCACGCAAAGAAGACAGATGAAAATGAAAGAGACGAGACAGACAAAAAGCTCGTGCGGTTGCCGATGAAGAAGAACCAAGTGAAGAGGGACAACCGTTGAGCCAAACCTCATTGTAACAAACCTGGGCCACCTGAAACTCGTAAGTAGAATACGCGTGCGTGTATGTGTACAAACTAAGGTCCGGGCGATAGTGCGCGCAAGAGAAAGAAAGGATGAGGGTGAAGAGACATGAAGACAGAAAGACATGAAAGAAAAGAAGTGAAGACGTCTGCGGGGGCCGATGACAGGGGAACCAAATCAAAGGGGACAAACCGATGACAGGCCAAACCTCATTGAGGAACCTATCGCAGAAGCCTAGTTTGCTTGTAGACACGCCGCGCCCGAGGAAAGAGGGAGGGGGAGGGAGAAAAGAGAAGGAGACAAAGGAGGACGCAAAGGTGCTCCCAGCTACGACACAAGCGTCCAAGGACACACCAAAAAGGAAGGGCTCCCAGCTATGACGAAAGCACCCAGGGACACCCACGGAAGTAGGAAGGTGAAGAGAGGAAAGAAAGAGAGAAAGAGAGAGGGAGAGAGAGTGAAAAAGAAGAAGGAAAAAGGGGCAGGTGTTCCCAGCTACGAACAAACGTCCAGGGACACACTGAGTATTCCATTCAGGAACACCCCAGAAGGCAAAGAAGGAAGGGGGAGGAAGGGGGTTAAGTTCTCGGCAGGTTCCAACGAACCTCGAAAATGCTTCGGTCGCTCTGACCACGTTGAAGCGTCAAGCCAGCTTGAGCTGCTGCGGTCACGTAACGGCATGAGCCAGCTTGGAATTCAAGAGTGCGACAGATCCTGGCAAATAACTTTGGCATAAGCCTCCTGCTGTCCGCTTCGGACACCTACGTTCCCAGGCAGGGGGAACAATGGACTGACACCCGTTCAACGGGTCCACAGGGGGCACTCTGCGGGCTCACCCTGGACTCTCACTGGGAGAGACACACTCATGGATATGCGTACACGCCAGCCTGAGTTTAAAAACCTGAGGTGCCAGGACAAATAGTAGGTTAAAGGCCATCGCAAGTAAGTGGTGGGCAATAGGCACAAGCAAAACAGAAATTACAAGTAGTAGGTTAAAGGCCATCGCTTTTTTTGCTGGAGGCCAACGCAAGGCCGTTGGGGGCCGACACCTAAGGTTGGAGGCCGTCGCTAGTAGGTGGTAGGTAGTAGGCACAAGCAAAACAAAGCAAAACAAAAGTGACAGCGAGAAGCAAAGTTGGAGGTCGTCGCTAGTGGGTTGGAGGCCATGGTACCAAGTTGGAGGCCAGTGCTACCAGGTTACAAGAAGCACAAGACACGCAAGACAGCCAAAGTTGGGGGTCAATTCTAGTGGGTAAAGGCCAAAAGTTCGGGTTAAAGGTCCTCGTTACAAGGTTAAGGGGCCTACCTGCAAACCTATAGAGTAGACTAGAGGAAAACAGAAGGAAAGGCACCGACACACAAGTGTGTCGAGTACCATTTCCTCCCGTTTTCCTAAATAGTGGAGCAGGTACGTGGAAATGGCGTCCCATTTCCATATCCTCAGATACATCGCCAGCTTCATTGACCAGGCGACGATATATCTGGCCTGGTCCCCTACTCCAAACCAAAGGGTAGCATGCCCATACGAGCAAGCAAATTTATAGCAGCAAACGTGTGAGAGGATAAACACGAGAGAAAAACATATCAAAGCAAAAACATGAGAGCACGTGAGAGCTCGCATGTGAAGGCACACACACACACATATGTTAGATCTACTCCAAAATAAATGCCTCTTCTCCAACAAAACATACTTACCTACCTTTTAACTCACACCAAAAGCTGTAAAGGTGATGTTGAAAACAATAATTCAACTTGCAACACAAAAAATAGCCAAACAATGCCAAACATAACTCCTAGCGCACCTCCAACCCACTCCCAGTCCTCAACGACTTCGCTAGGCAGGGCCTCTGCTTTTTTCTTTATTCTGCTTGCCGCTTTTGAGGTGCCTTCGCTGAAGGCAAAACTTTGATCGAACTTCTTGTTGTTGAACTTGAGAGTAGTAAGGAATTGTAGAAACCCACCTTGAATGAGCTTGTCCACAACTATAGCCATCAACTGAGCTCTTGTAATCCCCTGGTAGATCCGCGCCCGAGTCAAAAGAGTGTCAGTTTTGCGTGCGTCAGTGTCAGCTATTTTCTGATCAAGTCCCACACAAATCACAACCATCATCTCTTGCCCTCGGGCTTCCTCAACTGTATCTAGAACTAGCACTTCATCCCCTGCTGCTCTTTCGTCGTGGTGATGGGAACGCAAGTAACGTAAGGACTCGGCAAAGGATCTTAGCTGGAACTTTCGGGCAGTGAATGTAGAAGTGAGTTCATCTCGAAGTAGTCCCTTGAACTTGTCACAAAATGTCTTGTCTGGTACTATGATAGCCACCCGCAAATGCAAGCTGCTCAAGCTGGGGTAAGAGCGGAAGACGTGCCTAATGGCGTCGAGGGTGTAGCGGCAGCATTGGTGAAACATCTCTGCGTCATCGAGGGCCTCAAAAATAAAGGTTTTGAGAGGTGGACCGTTCGTTCCGCTGCAGCTGGTGGTAATTCCCTTGCTCTTTTCCAGTTCAAAGGCCTGTGCAGCAGCGACAATTCGCTGGGTACTTCGAACAACGTCACTGAGACTCACAGTGTCTTCAACTTCAGGAAGTGCAACGCGCAAAGAAGCTGATTGAGACATGTCGGACAGCAGCAGCTTCTGATTTGCCCGCAAGTCCCTGTAAATTCCGGTCATCTCGTCAGTGGTGAAGAGCTCGTGAGCCTCGTCAAAAATGGCTAGCAAATACTCTGGAGCAGCGGCTGGGTGTTCAGCAAATTGATTGCCTTCTAGAACCAACTTGACATTGACATAATCCTCATCACGTTTGTGCATGATTACGATCCTGGACAGCAGTTCCTCCAATTCTCCTCCTCGCCCTTTCAGCCACAGATGTCTGGCGATGAGCCACTGAACAAAATGCAAGCACAAGGAAAGGCGGGGTGCTACGTACAGGATTGCGCCCTCGGATTTGCAGTTCTCGTAAACTTTGTCCAGCGCAAATTGCACCGCCACAAATGTTTTTCCGGCCCCCGCAGGAGCTGTCAAGTGAAGCTCTTTGCTTTTCCGCTGGTGCAGCTGCCGAAGTTTTGATTCTTGATGATGAGTCAGCTTCGACAAGGATAGAAGACTGCTCTCATATTGTTCAAAAAACTCGGTTTTGTCAACTTGGACTTGGAACTCACTCTGATGAATGTCCGCAAGGGATCTGTTGAGTTCAGCCTCAAGGTCTCCGCAAAGAACTTGATCTCGAAGCATGTGGATTGCCTGGAGGGTGGAGAATGTAGATGTGTGCTGAACAACAGCATTCGCATGATTGCTTGACTGCAAAGCAACTTTTGAACATGTATTTTGACCATGTACTGTATGTACAGTACCAAGTACAGTACCTTGCTATTTGTTCAGTTGTGGCTTTACGGGAAGTCTCAAACCATGCTGCAATCGTGGCTGTCATCATCCTGGCACTTAGCATGCTTGCAGCATGCCGTACACTGGACAACAAAAGTATGGAACTGTCCAGAGCAACTGGTACGGAATCGCTCTAAATCTGACGTTAGAATGGCTCAGTCTGGAGGCATCTAGGGGCAACCTTCCAGGCTTCCAGAATTGAAACTCAAACCTCTATCTCTTAATTATTATGTAGATGCGTATGAGAACATATACTGACACTGATACTGACATAACCTTACACAACACAAACCAGTCAAGGCATCACACTAATTTCCACAAGAGCAATAAAGTTGTAAGCCACCGCCTTTTGGACAAAATGGCAGGCCCTGGCGGTGCATTTGTGTTGCATTTTTATGCTTTCTTGGTATGCTTACGGACCCTGTTTGCGCACGCGTTTGCTACTTCTCCATGCTCCTAGTTCATTGCTTACAAGCGCACTGCCGCAGGTTGTTGCGGAATGTTCCCCAAAGCCCCAAAGCGAATACCAACGCAAGCGCACTGCCAAAGGTTCCTGTCCAGGAGAACCAAACTAAACACATGTCGAGAAAGCAATAACTACTTGACAGATCTTCGCCTACCCCTGTCCTCAGAACATACAAATAACATTCAGAAAAACCTTGGAAAAAACAAAACCTTGGAAAAATGGGTCTCTATGTCGTCCTGTCTGTTTAAGAGTGTGAGTGCCCTTGCGATGAGATGAGCAATGCAAAAAAAGAGCTCAGGTGCAAAGACTGTATGCTTCTGCATGAAAGACCTATCTGAAGGACAGGTTGCTTCCTCAAAATGCACTTACTGGAGCTCAGGAATAAACATGTGTTCTCTTGTACACCCCTGCATGAAACTGCCTTATTGAAGCAAGTGTTTATAGTGGCTGTGCTTCTTCCAAATATATACACTTATGTATTTGTTCCAAGGGGTCTTGCTTAAACTTGGCAATTCAAACTTGTTGACATACTGCATTCCTCGAGGAAAATGTGCAATTCCAGTGACTCTTCATCTACTTTGAGTGGGAGAAGGTCAGTTCTGAGGCCTCTAAGGTCAGCTCTGGGGCCTCTAGGGTCAGCTACTTGTTTGAAGTGTTCTTTCTTGCAATCTATTGGATTTGCTAAACATCTGGACCTAGAATGGCAATGACAAAGCTGTTTGTTTGTCAAACAGGTAGCATTGTACAGTTCCTTGAATATCTCATCCTTGGTCAGTCTCCTGTGAAAGCGACCTTCAGAATTAACCCTCGTGGTAAAGGCACTGTGTGACTGGTGGTGCTGCTGGGCAACGTTTCACGAGGAAAGGGGTGCTTTGTATGCCATGTGTAAGGTGGTCTTTTCGGCGTGAACGATCCACTCCTAAGAGGCCACTACCAAGTGGGAAACATTTGACAAATCAATGTTTGACCTTGAAAAAAGGGGCGAATCAAGAAGCCTCACCTCGCATTCTAGACAGCCATTTCTTTCAGGGATATGGGTTTTAGCAATGAATGACAATTGCTGCAATAGAAGCGTTGTGTATTTCAAAATATCAAATTATGTGTTTTACATTGTGAAGTCACGAAACACATGTAGTTTTTATAAATTCATATTAACACGATCTGAATTACAATGTATCAGCAATAGCCCGTTGGACCCATGTTGACAATCTTTTCATCCCTTAGGTGCATCCCTGCTCTTGCCTTCACGTGCGGGACACGGACATTGACTGCAAAAGCAGCATGTCCATTTTCCAACCTGCATCTTGATGCAAACATCACATCCAAATCCACACCCTTCGGCAAATGTTGCTCCAGCATTCTCGACAAGTTGTCCTTACCAACCTCCTTAAGCAGCTTGTCGATGGGTTCTACTGTGTGCATCAAAAACGTGGACTCAAATTTCTCCAGATCTTTGTTGCATTGAACAGTCCACTTTGGAACCCACTCTTTGTCGTCGGCTGCGCCAGCCACAGGAAGACCAACTATGTGTCCTCTTCGCCAGTTTTTGGCCATGTCACGTGCATCCACCTCCTGTTCAAGATTGAATTCGCCTTGCAAAAATTGCATCACGTCGATTTCTTCATATATCCATGCAGGATTATTCGTTTCCCGCCACATCTTGTCCAGGTAAGCGACCTCTCCCTTCTGGGACCCACCGAGACCCTCGCCGTTCCACAGCTCTGAACCCGGCAGGTCATTCCAATGTACCTTGCCTTTTCCCTTCTGCCCGGCGAAAAACACCACCTGAAGCTTCTGCCCTTGCTCAACTGCCTTGTGGCCATTCTTCATCCAAGCAGGGAACCAAGCGCACCCCCATGGTGCTCTTCTCTTGTTCTCCTCGTACTTCTGCTGGGCTTCTTTGTCAGCCTCTTCCTTCTTCTCTGGGCTACTATTGTACAGGTCTTCTTCTACGACATGAATCTTCGTTACCTTTGCTTTCTCTAGTTCTTCTTTCAAATTCTCCTTTTTCACCTTCTTTAGGTAGTGAAACTTCTCCCAACTTCGCTCACCATAGATGGCCTTGCAATAGCAAATGCCTTCTTCTGCCTCAGGGTCTTGCACATGATCTCCGAGGCCGCCTTCTCCAGGATCGACCAAATCTCCGAAGCCGCGTTCTCCAGGAGTGGTAAAAAAGACACAGCCAATGCTGCTGTCATGATGTCCCTTGACAAGGGCATCCCATCCAGAAGGGTATTTCCCAGGAAACGAAATGACACATCTTGCTGCATTTTCTCGAAACTCTCCAGGGTATGATTTTTTCGGAGCTGTGTCAGCCATTTCGGCCGGTTGGTCTTTCAGGGTGATGTACAGGGTCACATTGACAGCACCGACCTGGCGGCTCTGCATGCATGGAATCTACGCGTGGCCATGCCATGCTCATCATCGTTGTCTTTCGGGTTCCAAGAGGTAACAAAGGAAACTCATCTTGAAACATTGATGGGAAGCAAACACATCTAGAATCTAGAATAAATTGTTTCGATGCTACAATTGTCCTCCAGAAAATGCAAATGCAAGAAACGCATTCAATATGTTGAGTGTTTGCTTTAAGAAAGATATGGTGCCATGCAACAAACAGCACCAAATCATGCTTTTCTTGGAGGTAATTTTCATATCAACATCGTTTTGACATCTCTATTGCTTTGCACTCCCAAACAAGGATGCAAAATTGCATTGAAGATAACATTTTGTATGAAACTACACCTGCGTGTTAGAAACAACAAACCGCTCTGAATGCCAGAGGCAGTGTTCCACACGCCTGCTGTTGCGCTTTCTGGAGTCCTTTCTTCAGCATTTCATTCTCCACCTCAAACACAAGCAAATATGTCAAATGTGTATCTGCTAGGTCTAGACAAAGAAACATAATTTCGGACAAAACAAGTAGTTACAACGCAACAAAGAATAAAACACGCATTGTGAAAACACTGCTGAAACTCATGTCTAGTCTTGATGGAGAATTATATACAATCGCTCCAAGTGGGCATTCCTCAACCAATTCTTTGCAAGGCTTGGTCCCAGTTTCAAAATCATTGCCTAGCGAAGTGCTACGTTCAACCCCATTACCAATTCAGTTCAATGCCATTCTAAAACCATCTAAAACCTAGTTGTCCCGATTGTACTTTAACTGCCAATGTTCGGGCTTGAAAACAACAGTCGTATACTACGCAGCCCATCCTTCTAAACCCCGACCTTTGCACTTTTGCTTCATTGGGCTCAGCTCTGTGTACTCACTGAACTTACTTTCCTTTGTGGCTTTAATGGCATTGGCTGTGTAAAGACGGCAAGAGAGAGAAAAAACCCGTGCACGACACCGTCGTCCATCTTTTTCTTCTTATTTTATTTGTTTTGCGAGCCTGCAACCATGAGCATCAAGAGTGGAATTATCGGTGGACGAACTGAAGACTTTGAAGTCGAAGTGGTCAGGAAAGTATGATGCAGAAATGCCAGGAACTGGTTTGAGTTGTCTGTTAATGTATCTACTAGAACCTACTGTAGTCCAACCGAGCAAAACTTGTGTGTGTGTGTCCACACCTGTGCCTAAGGTTTTCAGTCACAAAGAACGCTACTAGGGCCCCTGGTTTTGCTACTAAGGGCTGTTTCTCAGCGCGGAAAAAAGAGGCAGGGGGCCACAGACCTGCCACTGCTGCTGTGGCCAACGAAGACCGGCAGTGGTAGGTGTGAAAACGTACCTGCAAAACTGTTTAAAGCGGCTAGTGCATAGGCGGTCTGCTAGGTATTCAGTAAAACGGCTAATGCATAGG